TTGTAACAGGGTGCAGCCAAGAGGGGGGCCCCAAATAGGGATTTGGAATGGGGTCCAGAACTCAAGGTATTCAGGAAATATTAGGATGTCTCCCCACACACACCCCACAGGTGTGAGTTGGGGGAAGGGACACATGGAGCAGGGCCATTGAGAGCTGTTTTGCATAGCAACAGCTTTGCAGCTAACCTCTCCTGTGGTCATTGAACATATCTATAATCTTTAACTGGTTACCTAGATATGTTAAATAGCTGTGGCCACGCTCTGAGCCAGGGGAATGGAAGTAACTTCCCCACTGAGATGTAACTGGGGGCAGGTGCCCCATGTTACAGCGCCTGTGCGGGAGCTTGGAAAAGATTGGCTCCATGACATGGAGCCACACTTGCCCAGACTCATGATGGCAGCCCAGAAAAGCTGGAAGGATATGGGAGTGCTGGCAAGTGTAGCCAATTGTGGGCGAAGTCGGAAATGGGGCTTCAGAGGAAGATTGGTGTGGAGATTTAAACTGAGATGCAGCGGCTATTGAGGGGAGAACCACAAGGTTTTGGCTGAGTGGAGTCTTTCGCAGCCACTGAGCAGGAAGAGAACCATGAGGCTTTGCCAGAGTGGGGACCCCTGCAACGTTAGTAGGGGGAACTACCACCTGGCTTTAGCAGAGATCTCGGCAACGCAGCTGATGGTGCTGGGAACCGAGGGAGGCCTACCAGTTGAGAAGGATTACTGGGAAGAACCGGGGGCTGCCTGAGCCACGGACTTCTATTTTTATTTCTTTTCCTGAGATATGGTACCCCAGACTGGACAAAAAAGGAAGGAAGGACTGTGTGTTTGTGGGTGTTTTAAGGGACTTTTGGATTTTGATGAAGACATTAGGTTACTACTTTAAGTTTGTGTAGCATTAAGTAAACATTTCCTTTCCTTTTCACGAATCTCAGGCATTGAGAGATGTCTTTCTATAAGGCAGCGGACATAACGAACCTGGGGGATTCCTTTCGGTAACAGTATATCGGCTCCCCTTGGCCCCTTGTGTTCTGTAACGTACTCAGGTGTTGGGAGTTCCCCGGGACTTTTTTCTTCCTCAATTTGTATCCTATCTCTAAATGTTTTATTACACATGGCTTCAGATATCAGTTTCTAAAAGTGTGGTTCATGAACCAGCTTGTATCAAGATTGCTTGCAGAGGATGAAGTGGGAAAATGGTGTTAAAATTCATATTCCTGTGCCCCATTCAAGGCCTACCAAATTAACTTTGTAAGTGGGGACTGGGAGCCTACATTTTAAATAAATTCTCCAGCATATTCTCATACCACCTAAAGTTTGGAACCACTGACTTGATGTGTCACATATAACAAAGACAGCTCAACATCTCTATCTGGTGACTTACTAATGCCATTGCCTTATTTTCTCAAATGTTAGGACACTAGAAATGTGAAAAACAGAAAGGAAATGAGTTGTCTGTCCCGTGAATAATCAAAGTTGGATTATGTCATCTTTTGACGTTTAGAGTTCTAATAAAGAACTCATCTATGTTCAAGCTTCAAATTTTAATTCTCACCCAACAAAATAAAAACACAAGGATTAGAATGACTGTTTCATCACACTAAAGTCTCTTAAAATGAAACCAAAGTTTAGCTTTCCTGTGGTTGGCTAACAGCGTATTCTATTTTCCTCTAAAAATTTAATATGGGTCACTCGAGTTTCACCTAACATTTACTGTGAAATTGTTGTTCTGGTTATAACAGTATAAGTATTTATTGTAAATCAATTTTTAGAAAATAAATATTTTATGAAGAAAATGAAATTCACTCAATGTCCTTACCAAGAGATAATACACAATTTTAAATGTGCAGTATTACCTTTCATTTTTTTCTGTGTATTACATTTTCCTGCAAATAATTTAAATATATATTTCAATTTTTGTTCCTGCCTTAGTTTGCTACTAGCTCTGCACATTTTTGTTTTTAATTATGTATTTTTCCTTTTTTTATCTAAGATGTGACAAATGAAGGCTTCAGGGTTTTATTGACTTGATCACACTCCTAGACTGCCTAGTTCAAGTCTCAGTGCTAATTCCTAGAAGACCACATTGTTAATACTTCTCCATATATATCATTACCCATTTACTCTAATTATCTGGATTCCTGACAAAATGTTTTCTCATTTTTTTTCTCAGTAACCAGTTGTGTATTATCTTGTTAAGGCCATTTGAAAGCCTAAACATTCCATTCCTTATTTCCTTATTGTGTCAAAGAACTCAAGGTGATATAGTCAGTTTCTTGGAAAACTTCTCAGTAGATGAACTTTTGGTGATGGACCTTGAGGTATGAGGAGTTTAACAGATAGATAAGAAAGAAACAGCAAATCAAGCAATAATAACAGCATTTGAAAGGATATGGAGGCATAAAAGTACAATACATGGTGTGTTTGGGAAAATGCAATGTGGCTGGCACAGTAAGTGGCCACAGTTGAGACTGGCAGTGGAGGAAAAGCAGAGGAAAGTCAAAAATATAACGTGGGACCAATCGTGAACCATAATGGTGAACCATTTATAGAGTATTTGTTGTGTGGCAGGGTTTGCTTTACAAACATTTCTTTGAATCCTTTGAACAATGAAAAATTTATAAGGCTCACTGTGTTCTAATCAACAAATTTGATTTTTCCAATTGCTTTCAGTATGGCAGCTTACCTTCAACTTGAGTAATCTAGTAATTTGTTCTTCCATGTGCACCCAATCTTTATTCTGTGAAGCTAGTGTTTGGGGGTAGCCCAGAGCCCCTCCCCACTTCTTTTGGTAAGTCTCCACCCTCCTGGCCACAGAACCCAGACTAAGCCAACCAGAGTAACGCATCTCCACCAAGGTTTTCTACATTTAGAGCCAGAGAGAAAGCATCCTGTTTCTTGAGAAATGAGTGAGCCAGGAGCTGCTACGAACCCACAATGAGGAGGAAAGCTAACACGCAGAGAGACAGGGATGGGCTGTATTGTGTAACAGTCCTGGCAGAGTACCTGTCTCCTTCATGCTTCCTTGTTCTTTTCCTTAAGCAGGTTGAGTTACAATTTGTCCCTTGCAAACTCAAGTGAGTCTTGGTGGCTAGGAGCAAATTTTGGAGTGACTTAGGCCAAAAGCTGGTGCTCTGCCACTTAACAGTTAGACCTCAAGCAAGGCATTTACACTAGTTAGGCCCCAAAGGTAACACAGGGATATGATGAGGATGAAATGAGATTATGAACATAAAGCATTTAGTACACAGAAGGTGCTAAGACACAGCTATTAATGCAAATGGGAAGGAGAAATTACACTGGCAAGAAACCCCTTCATCGCCCAACAACCGAGGCCCTGTATTCCTGTCTCCATGAAGCCTGAGATTCAGTGTAAAATATATCACCAAATAAGAGAACCGAGTGAACAAGTGTGGCCAGATTTCAATAACCGATGAACAGATGGGAAGTCCTTGTGCTAGACTACTTTAAAAAGTTTTATAATAGTCTTTTTTAAAGAAAGGTCTGTTGAGATTATCATGCATTCTCTTTTCGGTCCTGGCCATGTGAATTTGAAGTGTTGGGCCAACCTTGTGTTCCTGGGGTAGAGTCACCTTGATCATAAGAAGTTGCTCCTTTGGGGAATAACTAAATTTGGCTTACTGGTGTTTCATTTGGGATCCATGAGATCGATGACCTATGGTTTTCCTTTCTGGTGGTAATTGAGCTAGGTTTTGGTGTGGGTTTGTACTGACCTCAAGGAAAGAGAGTGTTTTCCTTCTCTTTTCTACAGCCTGGAAGAATTTGTGTGGGGTTGGTGCCGTTTCTCTCTTAAATGTTTTAATGATCTGAATTGATTATATTTTCCTTTTAGATCCTTGATCTGTTAGTTATTATTTATATACTTTGTGGTGTGTGTAAAAGAATCTTTTTTCAAAACACTTTTGAGAAAAATAAAGTTGGCAAAAAAATTTTTTTAATTAAAAAATGTGTCACTTACCTAAGGGCAATGTAATCATTTCATCCTGTCTATACTAAAAACCTCACCCCTGGCCTGGATATGATCCTTTATGCAAATTTTCACCACTACCATCATCACCACTGAATTTACTAGGCATTGTGCAGGTTGCATCACATGTCATTTCCTTTAGACAACAGTATTGCCTCCCACATTTTAGAACGCTGAATCGTAGCAAACAATGTCCAGGATCTAGGACTTAAAGCCCAGAAATCTGACTGCAGAGTGGGTGCTTCACCTGCTTATCACATTCTGTCTTAGGGAAGTCAACATGGTCTCCTGGGGATGGGAAAAAAGAAACAAGATAACTTGGGCTCCAATCCACCTTTGCCTCTAACTGGCCGTCAGACCTTGGACAAGTCACATAATCTCCCTGAACCTGGTTATACATAAAATGCAGGGCATGGTCCAGGTAGGGTTGAAACTCTGCCTGTGAGGCCTAGGAATTTGGAGGCACCACCTTGGTGTGAAGCAAGATGAACAGCTTTCCTTCTTCTGTATTCACACTGGCCTTCAACAGAATTTCATTTGAATGAAAATGATTCTGAGACTTTAAAAATTTTGAAACCACTTGATTACTCATCAACTTCTGAGGTTCCTCCGTCCTTAATGATTCTACAGAATCATTAGAGGAATGATTCTATGAATATTCTATGATTCTAATATTCATCCCATTATCTATTAAACTCTTGATATGATTAGATGTGAATTACACCCCAAACCTCAGAAATCTCCATCACACCCAATCACTTTTCTACCTTTCTAGAATAAATTTTTCACTTTTAAAATGGACCCAGACACCCCCTAAATTTTTACACGATAAATCCCATTTAAAAATTACTTCCCCCTATAAAATGACATTCCCAAGTAAATTATAATACTACCACAGCCTTACACTACTCTCCACTTATTTTCAGTAGTATTCAGCACAGACCCTGACAGTGACACTGTATAAGCACTCAAGTGACTACAAAATAAACTCACTCTTCAAAGATTTAAAAATCAAGTATTAGACAAAATGTAGGTTGTTGGGAGACTTCAGTTTTTGAAATACATAATTCTTACAGCACAAACACAATATTTACATCACAAGTTCTTTTTTACAAAATATGTGTGCCATTTTGAAAGAATACTGTTGAGATCCTGATCTAAATACTTGTCAGAGTTCAAAGAGGACTCATGGAATCTGGTCTCCAGAAATCTACTGCACAATGATATAAATAAAATATGGCTGAATGTCATACATAAATACAAATTTTCTATCCCGATCATCAGTCAACAACAGCCTGCAGGCCAAATCCAGCGGGTGGCCTGTTTTCATACAGCTATAAGCGAAATATGGTTTTGCCATTTTTAAAGGTTAAAAAAATGTTTTAAACTGACTAAACAATAAAGAAGTAAATGTAACAGAGACAGGTGTGGCCTGCAAATAACTCACTACGTGGCTTTTTACAGGAAAAGTTTGCTGATCCCTGCATTTATGAAACCGATTGGAATATACTGATGGGTATAAAAAAAAGACAACACTGTAAGGTGCCAGTACCATCAGCAGGACTCATTTCTAAAATGAGGCACTTCTGTTTGTCTATGTACATTTCCAAAACATAATTAATTACATCTGAAAAGTAGCTCTGCTACTTAACTCTAGCCCTTTGCAATTAGGCTATCATATAAAGTCACAGTATTCTTAGGGGCTAAAGTAAACAAGTACAAAGTATTTAAGATGTCAGTCACTGAGCTTCTCAGTAGTTATAAGTTATTTAAGCCCACTTAAGAGCCTTAAACATTAATAAAATTCATAATTTAGATATTGCCAATAGGTGATATTGCTGCATTATTTAAATATCTATAAAAACATGTTTAGACATTCCAATTCATTATTTAATAACTAGTTAACTTAGTAGCTACCTATTTTAAAAATGAGAAGTGGAAGAAAAGAAAAAACAAAAGACCAAAAATGTAAAACCATAGCAAAAGGCTTTGGAATGCAACATCGGGGTCTCTCCACAATCCCAAGCTGGCCTGGGCTTCCCACATTAAAGTTAGTTGGCAATGGTTGCCGTGGGAACGTGGCAGCTGTCTCTTGTCAGTGAGCCTTTTCATGAAAAGAATGACAAGTCCACGAGCAAATACTTTAAAGGTAAAACCAGTTCAGAACTATTCACCACACAAGTTTTTAGTGTGTTGGTTAAATAATCCCTGGTCAGGAGGCTATATTCACGCCACACAACGAGTATTGTACTGGATGTTTTTCCTTCTCTGGGCCAAGCTGGCCAAGCATCACATCATGAAGACATCTCTGCGATGTCAAGCTTTCAAATGCTCAGTGAATGCCGAGGTAGATCATTTTCAAATGAAGATCTTCTATACCCTGATCCGATCGGGACTTGCTTCTTTCTGTAGCCTTCTTCGGGGAAATATCTTCCGCTTAAGTGCGATTAACTAAAAGATGAAACAGAAAATAGATTTTAATTTCCATGTTGACGAACTTTAAACTTTCTGAGGGTCATAGGACCTTAACCATGCCCAATCTTACACATAAAAAACAGACTGCAAACAGTCTTGCTATTCCTCCCAAAACAAAATCAACCACTACTTTTGTTTGGCTTTATAGGGTCAACATACCTAGATGTGCCCACAGAATATTTAAACCCACAAGGATACAATTATTTTGGTCCACACTTCACTTTTTAAAGATCTATAGCTACAGATTTTTACACAGGGATTACCAAGCATATTTATTTTCGAGATATCTGTTAAGTCAGAATCTCTATTGATGGAAACTGACTCTTTTTAGCCACTAAGGTGCTGTCTCCAGGTTTGAAAAGGACTACATATACAAGACAGAATTCTTTAAAAAACTGTTAAAAACCTATATTAAAATCCTATCACCATTTTCCTCTATACTTAAACATAACAACAATCATTTGAAAACACAGGTAATACCCAATTTATGAGTGGGTTGCAAGATAAAAAGTTCATTTGGATACATATTTCTTTCTCATGGAAACAGTCTATTTATGATATATCTGAAACAGAAACTTGACCACCATTAAAATAAAGTTTTGATGAAAAAAAATAAATGTTTTTACGGTTTCAAGCTGGGACTCTACTGTCTACTCCTCCACCTGGAGGTGGAAGCAGGCCTTTGAACAAGCACAAGCCCCCATGGTGTGAGTGATGAGCTGGGACTCTGGGGCAGAGGAAGAGGCAACACTGGCCGGTTTCCCCGTGAGCACAGTAGAGGGTAAGGAATCTGATTCAAGTAGGTAAAGAGCAGGGTGTCAGAGAGGAGAGGAGATTCATTTTTTCTTCCCTTCTCTCTCCACCTGCCTCTTTGGTTCCCTGCTCTCTGCTGGTATAAATGACACAGAGGAAAGACTGATCCCCCTGTTCACTTTCACTGCCACCAGCTGCTCCTTTCACTCATGGTCCCTCCCCTGCCCCACCGCAGGCCGGCACCACAGGCTCGCAGGTTCCTCACCGGACTCCTGTTCTACAAGTGGGTACAACCTTTTCAAGATTCTTAAAAAGATTTTTACCTGCCAGGAACAATGGCAACATCTATCAAGAACAAGATCTGCATTCCCTGTAAAGCAGATGAAGGTTAAATTGCCTGCCCAATTCTCCATTTCCTGGATTTCCTTCCCTCCGTGGCAGGAAGCCCAGGCACTCTCAGTGCTTTGACCTCCTCCTCTTTCTTGGTTGTAAGTAAATTCAGTGTCAGTTTCCCATAAGCAATAGCTAAAAAAAGCTCTACTTAACAGCCACCTGGAAAGGAGGCTGAGACTAGGGTCGCTTGCCCTGTGCAAGTCAGGTCAGCTCAGACACATTTCCCTGCCTTCTGCAATCCTTTTCTTCAGAGCATTTCATACATGCGGCCTAATAAGGATTCTCTTGTCCCTTTCTTTTTACATCAGAAATCTCCCTCCTTCTCCTGGACCCTCACCTGAAGGGGGTCGTGTGTACCTACACGGAGAACTCTCGGCAATTCAAAGGAAATGTAAGTGAGAAAAATGAAGGCACTTCAGTCACTTTTAGAAAGGTTTTAAGAAAAAAAAAGAAAATAGTATCAGATGAGAAGGTCTAGGTAGTTTTTGGTTAAAAATACCTAGAGCTTTTCAGTTTTAGCTAGAAGCCTGCAAGTTAATCTATTGAGTTCCAGGTAAAAAAGAATGACAGTAATGGATCTAGAAGATAAATGAATAAATAAAATGCTATTATGTCTGATGCCTGAATATTATGAAATGTATTTCCCATATTGACATATAAGTTCTAAATCAGTAGAAGAAATACAAATTTTCTTGTGACTTTATATCATTTTCTAAAAGAATCAGATACTCATATGCCAAGAAATACTGTTTGATCCCCACAAAAAATCTGTAAAACTTACCTGTTCAGCAAAAAATGAGAATACAGTGAACATAATCAAAGTTGCTAGTACACAATGAGTCCAAAACTTCAACTTGTCTCGATATGCTCTCCTGTTCAGAGAGAAGAAAGCAATTATGTAGCTCTATGTATGGTTTCACTATGTTACTTAAGAGTTATTTATATACCATTTGATTGGGTTAGCCAAAAAGTTTGTTTGCTTTCTTCTGTAAGATGGATCCAGTAGTGCTTCGTTGTCTTTAACTTTATGCGAAACAAGTTTGTTAGACTGTATTGTGACAGTTCTCATAACAGCGTGCACTTAACAAAAACTTTTTAAAATTGGCAAATTTTTGTGTAGCCATTTTAATATTGCAGATGGAAGAAAATATGCAACATTTTTGGCATGTTATGCTTTATTATTTCAAGAAAGGTAAAAATGCAACTGAAACAGAAAAAAGACTTGTGCAGCGTATGGAGAAGGAGCTATGACTGATCGAACGTGTCAAACAAACAGGGTAGCCACTCGGAGGGCAGTGATGACAATGAAGAAGGCTCAGCAGATGGGCTCAGCCAGTGAGTTCAATAAAGAGTATATTTCAATGATTAAGCTCAATAAAAACTATCTAAGTGTATTTTACAAAGAAGTTATAAAGCAAGCAACACATTTAAAGAAATTTCATCACTCTGAAACAAAACACACACATGTATACGAACCATGAGCACTTACCATTCCTGCAGTTCATGCATATGCAGAAAACGGTTTCTGTACTCTCTGGGTAGCTCGAACTGGGATGGTACAGGGAACATGGATTCATAGAAGTCCCTGAGAACAGCTTTTACTGTCTGGGCATCTTTATGATTATGGTCAATGTTGTCATTCAGGCAAACAAACTTCCTGAAAATAACAGAGACCAGGTGTTATTGGTTATCATAAGGATGATCCTGACCTCACAAAACAAGCAAATGTGGGTTAATGTAGATTCCAAATATATTTTATAGTCTTTATTTCCCAAGATGTTACATTTACTGAAATGGTTCTCTGGGGCAATAGTGTTTTATAAAACTTTTCTTTGGATATTTCTCACCTATAAAACAGAACTAAGAAAGATAATCTTGAAAGGGGCCTTCTAGCTTTGGAATAAATTAATGATTTCTGTTTAGCATGTCCTCAATTAAGTGTTCAATAAATGTAGTTTACTGACTGGGTCATTTTGTTAGCAACCAGGGGAAAAAATGAATGAGTACCTAAAACCAAGTTCTCTGAACTGAAAATATGTAGGTAATTCAGATAGCCTTGCAGCTAAAGATTATAGTTTGATGATTTCTTAACATTTCTCCAACCAAGTTGTAAGATGCTAGAGCTCTGGCAAAAAGCAGATTATAGTAAATGCTTCCAGTGGTAAAAGATTACAGTGTAAAAGATTCCACTGTAAAAGGTTACAGTGGTGCTTCCTTACTGGTTTGCTTTAAGGCAAAAGTCACTAAACTGAGGGTCTATTACAACAGTAACTAAGGATATCACTGTTTTTGGAGTATACTTGCTAAAACCACACACCAAAAAACAAAAAAACCCAGCAAACTTAAATCTAATAAAGACCTCAGATCCAACTACCAATTTACAGGAAATACAGGAATATAGCCACATGTTAAGTGGGATACAATCAGAGAAACCCAAAGTGTAGGAAATCTATATGCATGTGTATACACAACATGTATAATACATACCTATGGATTTCTTCATATATACACACACAGAAAAATCATATGATTTAAAAAAGAGATTGAGGGAAAACCTATAGACTTAATTGCAATGAATTTACTTAATACCACTTCAAACATACAAACTTAAAAAACACATAAATGCTTATAAAAGACAATGGGGGAAATGCATAAACTGACCAGATAGTTTATCATATTAAGAAATAAATAATGGTATCCTGGTTATTTTAAAAGAATCCTTATGATTTACAGAAATGTATTAAAGGATTTACAAATAAAATGACACAATGTCTGAGGCTGACATGAAAATAATTAGGAAGTGGTGAAGGAGTGGGTGTGTTTAGAAGAAATAAGACTATAAATTGCTTACTGAAAGAGGGTGATGAATATGTGAAAGTTCATTATTCTGTCTATTCTCCAAACTTGGGGACTACTTTAGAATAAAGGATACTAGAGATATGTCGACCAAATACAATGTACAAGCCTTGACTGGATTCTAGATTAAAAACAAACAACAGCTATAAAGAACATTTGGAGGCAACCGAGGAAATTTGAATATAGGCCATTAGGTAGTATTATTTAGTCAATGTTAAGATTCTTAGATACGGGTTAATGGTGTTATGGTATAAAGGAGACTGATTTTGTTTTAGAAGGCTAAAATAATCAAGGCTAAAATGTCTGTATGTCTGCAAGTAATTTTCAAATGGTTCAGAAAAAAACAGATTAAAGCAAAATGTGTGTGTGTGTGTGTGTGTAAACAGATGAGAGATCAGCAAATATGATAAATGGCTGATAATTTTAAAATTTGGATGAAATATTTATGGGGTTTATAGTACTATTTAAAATTTTTTTTATCTTCGAAAGTTTTCAAAAACTTGGGAAAAATTAATGAAAGCATATGGATGAGATACAAGGTAGCTAAAGCAGACCCAGCAAATAACTCCCTTCTCCTTTGAAAGAGAACTTCCATTTTGCTTAGCATTTCTCCCCTTATATAAGCTGACTTAAAAAGAGGTGACTCGACCCAAACGGGAGGAAGCTTCTGACTAGTTAAGTGAATCCCTCCCCTTCACAGTGACTGGGGTAGGAATGGAGAGACAACACGTGACACACAGCAAGGGGCAATGTCTTCCTGCCTCAGAACAGGGCTACACCTGCAGGGACAAGCAGAAGGGCTGTGGCTGCCCCCCGTCCAGCCTGAGGATGAAGCCAGCACAAGCAGAGATGAAGAGGTCAGAGGGAAAAGCAAAGCCTGGCCCCTGCCTATCCCAGACTCCTTGTTAATGGGGAAAACCTGTCCTTCAAGTTCAAGTCAGTCAAAAGACTGATTTTCCATTCTTGACTTAACATAAGCCCCCATACAAAAGTAAAACAAAACACCTGAGAGTTAAAAATGATAAAATCTGTTCAGGGTCACAGGAAGTACAGTATCTGGGCCTGGCAGACACTGGCAGAGAAGCCTGCTTGCCCCATGTATTTTTAGGAAAACCTTGTCCATTTAAGCAACACGGAGGTCTATGAATACCCTCATCGAATAATCTCAAACTGGCACAAAGACAGAAAAGCATGGGGTACAACTAAAAACTGTAAACTCTCACATGGTATACAGACCAGTAATGACTGAGAGAGCAGATCAACAGTGGGAAGGCAAAAGCACATATTGAAGATGATACTTAAAATTATTTTGAAAAATTAGAACAGGGCATTCCAGGCAGAGGAAACAGCATGTGCAAAGAAAGCTACAGGCTGGGTGATTAATTATTGTGGCTTATAGTTTGCTTGACTTACGGGAAGTATTTGTCATTTGTAGGAAGTAAGCTATTTTACTGGATAAATAATCTCTAATGCTTATTTACTAAATAGCATTAAAGATATTTTAATTTTTTCTCAAAATTCAAATTTCTGCTCCCCCAAACAAGAATGAGATTTTTAGAAAAACTATGGCTTAAAATGTCTAGAGATTTTATATCTCTGATCATTTATAATTAAAGTCATAATTTAAATGAGGTGAAACTGAAGACTTCCAAATGCATGGAAAAGACTCAGATAAAAAATTTATTTTTATATCGTCAAAGTCTTTTTGGGCAGGAAACTGATAAAATACATACTTCCCACTAAAGTTCAAAACTCAGAAATGCATATTTTAACCCATTTCATCAAACTATCTAAGGCAACTATTAAGGGATGAGGCTGGATTTTCAAGACCTATATAAACCTGAACACTTTAGCCATCTTCAATGAATGACTGCAATTTACTGGACTGATTTTCACATTTACGGCAGCACATCTTTTTGTTCACAGACACTCTGAATTGCAAAGGTAAGTCTAATCACCAAACAATGTCTCTGAAAGAACTTTCTTAGAAATGCTTTGAGAGTCCCAGCTGTCTGGCCTTACCTCCTCCATGATATGGCCCCCCCTTAGCCTCACTGAACAGCTCCTGTCACTGGACTCTTAGAAGTCTGTGCCAGTCCCTCTGAATGGGGGGACCTTACCTCACCTTGCAACTGTTACTTCAAAAGCTACCTCCACCATCAGGCATTTCCACCTGCTCCGGACAGAATTAAGTCACTCCCTTCTCTCTAGTGCTGCTGCTATTTTTTCAGGTTTATTTACATGAATAAGGATAATTTTTAAAGTTATGGGAATTCTCTGTACTTTCTCAACTGTGCTGAACCTAAATGTGATCTAAAAAATAGTTTATTTGTTGTTCTCTGATTGGCTTATTTCACTTAGCATAATACCCTCCACATCCATCTTTGCTGTGGCAAAAGGCAAAATTTCCATTTTTCACAAAAGATTTTATTTATTTATTTTTAGAGAGAGGAGGAGGGAAGGAGAAAGAGATGGAGAGAAACATCAATGTGTGGCTGCCTCTTGCACGCCCCAACAGGGGACCTGGCCCACAACCCAGGCATGTGCCCTGACTGGGAATCAAACCAGTGACCCTTTGGTTTGCAGGCTGGTACTCAATCCATTGAGCCACACCAGCCAGGGCAGATTTCCTTCTTTTTTTTTACAGCTGAGTAGTATTCCATTGTGTAAATGTACCATTGCTTTTTTATCCACTTATCTACTGATGGGCACTTAGGCTGCCTCCAAATGCTGGCTAATTGTAATTAGTGCTGCAATAAACATAGAGGGGCATTGGTTCTTTTGATTTAGTGTTTTGGGTTTCTTTGGATATATTACCAGAGGTAGAATCCCTGGGTTATAAGGCAAGAACAGACTAAAAGCTGTCAGAGGGGAGGGAAGATGGGGGCTGGATGAGATAGGTGGAGGCATTAAGGAAAAACAAAACAAAACAAAACAAAACAAAACAAAACAAAAAAACAAACAAAAAAGTCCTCCATAGACCCAGATAACAGTATGGTGATTTCCAGAAGGAAAGAAGGGTGGGGGGGGGCGGTAGAAGAACGCAAAGGAGGGACAAACGGTGATGGAAGAAGACTAGACTTTGGGGGGGTGAACCCACAATACAACAACATACAGATGCTGTATCTATCTCAGAATTATACACTTGAAACCTATATAATTTTATTAACCAATGTAACCCCAATAAATTCAATAATATATAAAAAATAAAACTGACAAAAAGTTTATTAATTAAAAAAAAGCAGTACCTGGGATTTTTTCTTATATCATCCAATTGGCCAACCACATGAGAAACATTGGTACGAATCATTTTAAAAGCAATTTCTTCTTCTCCCATGATTTCAAACCTAATTATCAAACATATTTAAAGAGTGTCAATATTTTATGTGGAATGACAAACAGATTTTCAGTAAGAAAAACATTTTATGAAACTTGAACAGACTCAGCATCCTCTGAATGAGTGAGTCTTTCAGTATTATGAAAACAATGTCACATAAATTTTAAAAGAATACTTAATAAACTACTGTAAAGCCATGAGAATACCAGACTCTTATATTAATTATTCTTAAACTAAACAGAGAGGAAATTGTATGACTACTTACCTATATTTGTTTTTGTCTTTATACGCTTTGTGGATTTTATCAGTTACTGGTTTACAGTTGGTTACTAGACTTTTAGTGACGGGTGGCTGTAAGGAAAGACAGACATTACAACGGGGCCAAGACTGTGGCTGGGCAAGTAAAGCATTCAGCGTGGGTGCAGAATTTAAGAGGCAACCAAAAGACTCAGTAATCAAGAACATTTCTAAAAATCAGATTGGCGTACTATGGCCTACAGACTAACTGCCTGTTTTTGCAAATAAAGTTTTAAGTGGCACATATCTGCATACTAACCCATGCCATACACTACACTAACCAACGCCTGATGGGAAATTCCCATACATAGTTTGTCTATCTGTTCCAACAGCCCCTGGGCTGACCTGTCTCACCAAGAGCTGCTGCTGCTCGTCACACTGTGTCTCCTCACGGCAGGCCTTCATGGGCTCTCCGAGAACAGGAGTGAGGAACACGGTCCCTGGCCTGCACAGTGATCGCTAAATAAATGATTTCCTTCTTTCAGGAACTGCCTTACTACTCTTCTGTACATTAATGTACAAATGTCTTATCTGTAGGTAAGTATAAATTACTTATATATGGCTTGGACACTTGCAAGTTGGTAAAATCTTTCTTAAGTAACATTTTATTCTGATTATGAAACCAAAACTCTTCATTATAGAAAATACCAGTATGAAAAAAAGGAAATTGAAACCCACATATGATTTAATCTTTTGTCATTTCTATTACCTTTTGCAGTGTGTTTTATGCGTGCATGTGTGACAGTTTTTGGGAGTTTTCCATAGTTCAAATCATACTATGTATATGGTACTGCCTGTTTTTCCCCACCTAATTTTATCTTGTAAACATTTTTCCATATAGCCGTAAATATTAATTGTAAGCATCACATTAATGGCTATATTATATCCTTCTTCCATCAATTCTAAATGTATATTTTCCCCCACTTCTCTGAAACTGAGATGCATCTGACAATCAACTGTGTTATAATCATTTCAACTAAATGCCCCGCCATATCACGGTGTGTGAATCATCCACACCCCCTACTGGTCAGATCTAGAAAGTGCTGGCATCAAAGCAATTTAGCTTGGATGAAAGATGGTATTCAATGCGATGAACATTTCCTTGGTTAATGTTTAACCTTTGGACAGTTCTCCCAAGCTAATGCGAATACTTTGGGGCTATCTTCTGCCATCCTTAGTGAATAGGAGTCTGCTGACAGAATATAAGCAACTAATCCCATGAGTTTAAAATCCATTAGTTAGGAAAAAAGATATTCCAAAGCAAGATATAAAATATTCTGGATTATCTGTACTACTTCTTTCCACCAAAGACATATGCACATAGAGCCTGCTTATACTTTTTGAAATGCCAGACAGAAATGGTGTAAAGACACACTCTCTATTTTACATAAAAGAACCCATGCCACTTACCAGATTGGGGTCATAGTATGCTTCCTGAGTTGGTGGAATGTTGCTGAGCTGAGTGATGTTAGCAGGAAGCATTTTTGAGCAATTTATTAACATGTGCTCCAGACCCGTTAAATCCTAACAAAGCAAAAGGATAAACCTTCCATGTACATTATAAGTAATGATTGTGGCTTTAAAAATTAAAACTACATAGAGGTCTCCAAAATGTGTTTCAATGTTATCTTCAAAGAGAACCTGACTACATGATTCTAAAGACAAAAACACCCTATAAAGAGCAGAATGAGACAACGCGAATACAAATATTTCATCTTTGTTTCAAAGTAGATCACCCTGGACTGTGAGGCACCATTTTACACAAGACGGTCCAGGGGATCACCAGATGGGATGGCCTACAGGTGGATTCATCCTACCCGCTCCATTAGTGAGCTCCCTACTCCGGGGACTAACTAGGAGAGCCATGGCAGAGGGGGCTGTGCGGCACCGCAAGCCTGATTGAGGGATGTAGTCGGCCACCCCTGAATGAACTCGTCACAAGAACCCGACGTGCAGATATGGTCTGGCTCTTCTCCAGACAACACAACAGCCATCCCCATTGCAAGCCTAAAAGAAGTAATCTCAGGAAATGTGAACTTCAAATTTGGTTTTAATTCTGGCACAAAAATAAAACTGGTTGTGAACACCTTCATGAACTATTAAGAATTACTTTTACTTGCACAACACTGAAACATATAGGAGGAAAAAGAGAAAGTATTCCAAATTGAAAGTTTCAGCCCTGGCTGGCATAGCTCAGTGGATTGAGTACGGGCTGCGAACCAAAGCATCGCAGGTTCGATTCCCAGTCAGGGCACATGTCTGGGTTGCAGGCCATGGCCCCCAGCAACTGCACATTGATGTTTCTCTCTCTCTCTCTTTCTCCCTCCCTTCCCTCTCTGGAAATAAATAAATAAAATCTTAAAAAAAAAAGAAAGTTTCATTAAAAAATGCGGTAAAGTTTAGGGAGAAAGAATACAGCACCTGCAAACTTAAAGGCAGGTCATGAATTCTGGTAGCTAGTGTTCGGATTTCTCTGTCAGATAGGACACCAGACTGGTCAGTATCAACTTCATCAAAAACTTGAGATATATTCAGTGGCTGAACTGCACTCATGAGGTAATAAAAATAAGAGAAGGCAAACTGCATATCCTCAGAGTGGCGCACTTTGTGAAATGATGTCTTGTCAAATTCTTCAGGGAACCTGCACAAATATAACATATAATGAGCTTGTGATATTTAAAACATACAGCACCTGACGCTTGTAGAGTCAGCATCTTTTTTTCCTTTCCACCTTACACGATACCTTCAGCATGCTAGTCATCAAATACTGGAGTCGTAAATTTAGCACAGCAAAGGTGTAAACCTCAGGCAGCCCTGGCTCTGAGCGCATGCACACAACCCAGACACAAGCCCAGACTTACATGTCTTGCAGTTCTTGCATAACTATTCGGTCGATCATGTGAGGCATGTGGGCAGGGACTTTCCTAGATGTGAATCCGAACTTGCTGTTTAGAATTTTGTTTACATATCGGAGGGAGTCTGCAAATGTATCTTTTAGTTGCCTGCCAGTATGTTTGCTGTCAGTAAAGTATGCCAGTTGGGTTTTCAATGACTCTTCTTCCTGAAAAGAGAATTCCACGTAACACAGCATTATGTGTAGTATACAGGCATACTTTGGTTAACAAGAGGCAAAGGTGCCATTTTATATAATGTAATACCTAGTCACTGATGGCAATGACAGGCAGATAAAATTGGGACCCTAAGAGCAGGACAAAACTAGACTTTAGTGAAAGTATGCCCAACATTGGCTTGAGAAGAACAGCCGTGTGGTGAGGGTCTATTTATAGGATATTCTTCAAGGACTAGTCATTGAGCAGGAGATTTCCCAGCCAATTTGATGCAATATTTAGAAACTCTATTTACAGATAAATTTGATAGTACTTTTGATATGAAGTTATTTCTACTGATGATTTCAAGGCAGCAAGTACTTGAGTTTTAAACACAAGGATGAGAATACAAAACTGGTTTCACCATATAATCAAGTCAATATTATAAAATGTAAAGAACCCTATCAGAACCAGTAAGAGGCAAAACAACGAATGGGCAAACAACGTGAACACACTTCAAAGAAGTCAAAATATCTTTGCTTCTCAAAGTGATAAAAATGTGAAGACATTGGTAATAACTGGTGTTGGTTAGCCTATAGAGAAACAAGCAGTCTTACATACTGTCTGTAGAACTAGGAAGAGGCACAACATTCTAGCAGGGGTATCCAACCTTTTGGCGTCTCTGAGCCACGCTGGAAGAACAGTTGTCTTGGGTCACACATGAAATACACAAACACTATAAAAACTGGTGAGCAAAAATTGTACATTAAGTGAATTTACGAGTTTGTGTTGGGCCGCATGCAGCCTGTGGGCCGCAGGTTGGACACTCCTGTACCTAGTGGACATGTTTAAATTTGTGTGCACCTGACCCTTTAAGCTACCAATTCTACCTAGAGAAGTAATAACTTCCTCAAAAGTAAGTTACATATACAAAAATATTTACTGTAACATTATTTGTACTTGCAAACACTGGAAATAACTTGCAACTGTTAAAAAGGACAGTGGCATTGACTTGGGCAGTTTGCCTGCACACCAGGAGATCAAAAGGCAACTGCAGGGCAGTGCAAGTATAGTGTGATTCCACTGCTGCCAAAACATATACTATAGTTTGTATGTTTGCATAATCTATACAAAAGTACTCAAAGGACATCGACCCAACTACAGTAGTAATGATCTCAAGTAGGGCAATTAGGAAGGAGGAGGGGGACTTTTCTCTTTTTTGCTGTATCATTTTTGTACTGCTTACAATTTTTGCCACCAGCCTATAGTGCTTTTGTAATTTAAAAAAAGGGGCAGTGAGGAAAGAAACCTAGATGAGAATGCTGCAGTCACTCAACAATTAGTCAATGCCTACTGCAGCAGGTACAAGGTACTTCCCAAAGACAAGGACAGGGGTGAGACATAGTTCCCCTCTTCATCCGCTTTCCTTCTAGCCTGACGTGCACTCATGGGGGTGCTCTGTTCACCATCCAGCCTAGACCACAGGATGTTTCTTGGTCTATCAACTCTGACTCACCTTTCAAAGGTCAGCTCACAGGGTATTTCCTCAAGAATGCCTTTCCTGATGCCTCTATGCAAAATTAAGGAATTTTCTCCTCAGACTCCTTACCTCACCTCAACAGAGACACTAGTCCCAGTGCCACATACTCACCCACGAATCTGTCTCCCAACTTGCTCTTTGCGTCTCCACTAGCAGTGATTGACTGTGCTCTAATCATCCTGCCTTCCTCAGCAGTCAGCAGAGTGACGGCACTCAGGAGACATACAAATGCCACCCTGGCCCTGTGGAGGCCACAGTACAGGACAGAGAGCTTGCCAGCTCAGAGGCTTGGCTCACGCTGACTTGCTGTTGTGATGCTAGGGAAGCAAACGAACTTCTCTGCCCCTCGGTTTGGTCATCAGTAAAGCTGGAAAAATGTCAGATCTGACTCGTACTACGTACACAAAAGCATTTCTTGAAATCTTACTTGGGGTATGTCCCTGGCTGAATCCCTTGCTCATTCACCCTAAGGCTGTTCTCTAAGCTGTAACACAATAGTAGAAACCATTATAAACTCTTTTTATTATTAGGGCCGTTGAGAAAATTAAATGAAACCATGTAAGAAAAGCTTTTAGCTCACTGACTGGTGCAGGAGAAGTGCTGAATAAATGGTAGCTATTATGATATTATTATCACTTATAAGGTTATTTATTTTTCCTGAGCATGAGAAGGAATATGGCTGGGTGTAACTTACATCAAGAAGATCTTGAAAATACTTTTTTTTCTCCCATGGCAAAAACCCTGGGTAACTGTCTGTGTAATGCTGTAGTTTTCTTCCAGGTAATACTTCATTACCATATAAGTGATTTTTAGCACGGTCCTCCATTCTGTTTTTCTCTTGTTCTTTCCCCATGATTGGCTTTTCTCTCGGCGCATGTCTTTTCAGTGGAACAATCAGAGAAGAGAGCTCTTCTTTTGACACATTTCTGCCTCCTCTTTTTTGGGTCTGAGTTTCAGATCTAGAGCTTTCTTTGGTTTCCGCGGCCAGTGGCAGAGTCTGACGCCGGTAGTGGCCATTCACTTTTACCGTCCCTCCTGGAAAAGTGGACCTCTGTAATCCTTCAGGCGCTCCTAAGCTGTTCGGCAAGGTGCTTTTGTGAAGCTGTTTTACCAGTGGGGCCTCCAAATTCTCACTTCTTGCATCTGTTACGATAGCTTGGTTTATTTTTACTCCGGCATGCTGTGAGTTTACCAGAAACGACTTCAGCATCGCTGACTTGGACAGGTTGTATCCTTTCATAGTGATGTCTCCACGTTCTAGTTGCAAATCCAAGTTCTTGAGATGCCGCTGGGCCTCTTTTGGAAGGAGTGAAATATTTACCAGGGGAATTTCCACCTCCTCTTGGGGCCTCCCTGTTGTATTAACATCACGTCTCTTAATCTTTGGGGAGCGTCTTTCTTCGGGAATATCCTCAAATGGGATTTCCACCTCCGGAAGAAGTGTTACGGGGCTAACCAAAGCTTGGTAGGACCTCTGGGTCGTAGAATTCAGTTTCGGTTCCTCTCTTGTGTCAACCTCGACTGCTATCTGGATTTTGAACTCTTTGTCGTTTTTACTTTGAAGTGTGAGATTAAAATGTATGGTGGTTGCATTCATTCCGCTGTGCATTATGAGGTGGATGGTTTTCCACTTATTGGCTATAGAAGCGTGTCGAATTATTGGGTTGTCACTATAGGCGCCTTCGATTCCCCTTTTGGCTATTTCTGCAAAGCTGAAATAAGGCAGGCATTCACCTTTTGGAATAACATAGTGAGTCTGGTTTGGGAGAAGAGTCACTTTATATAATTCGTGAAAATGATCTAGAGGGAAAAAAGACAAACATGACTTTTAAAAAACTAGCCATTTGCCCCTCTTTTCCTTTAATTCTTAGGGGTTGAGTCTTCACTTTCTAATAGTGACTTTAAATGGACTTCCAAGGAATCAGAAATTCTACACAAGAACTACCGGTACGGGGCTGCTTGGACTGTGTGAGGCCATCGCTGTCATCAATATGGATCGTTTGCTGAGTCCAACTCACTGCCGAGATATGGCAGGATGCCTGACCGCAAATTCCAATGATCTACTTCCAACCTTTTGTCCATTAGAGAAAACGCAACTTTCTGCCAAAATGACCTCTGTTAATAAGCTATCAACAAGCTCCAGTATTCAAATCGTCCTTATTTAATACATTATTGGTCTTTTATTATTTTCAAATTAACCTATCATCTCTTGTATTTTCTTTTTTTTTAAAGATTTTATTTATTTATTTTTAGAGAGGAAAGGGAGGGAGAAAGAGAAACATCAATGTGCGGTTGCTGGGGGCCATGGCCTGCAACCCAGGCATGTGCCCTGACTGGGAATTGAACCTGCAATGCTTTGGTTCGCAGCCCATGCTCAATCCACTGAGCTATGCCAGCCAGGGCTTCGTATTTTCAACGAAAATAAATCAGCTTAGTGGAAAAAAAAAAAAAAATCAGACTGGAGTAATAAGGGAAAAGATGCAGCTTTAGTATTTACTGTTTTGTAAAGGTCTGTGTCTTTCTCTTACTTTTAACTTACAACTAGTTTGGATGCAAGGCTGGAAAAGGGATACACAGAGAATAATTACTTTAAATGAAAACGGTGACCCTAAACCCTCTCTACTGGCCAAGGATTTTTGTCCCCTTATCCTTAATATATTTTTATGACAATAAATATACCTTGCCCACAGTCACCAGCATCAAATCCACAGGACAAGACATTGCAGGCTTGGTCACAGAACTTATCAGCGAGCCAGGAGTTTGCGCATCCTTGATTACAGTAAGAGACACTGTTTATTCCTCCTCCAAACTGCCAGGGCTGTCCAACTCCAATACTGCCGGTTCCCCCGCCTCCTGCACCATAGCGGCTCCCTGCGCTGTTACCTGTAGAGGGAGAAGGGCAACAGAATCTTGCGGTGCTTATAAGCTAGAAAAAAAGAAAAGACAGCTCCTTACTTCTTCACAGTTGTTTTCAAGATTTGATGCATGAGTTTCCGTCTGAAAGGGTTCAGCCCATTCCTAAGTAGAACAGTTCATGCAGCTTTAGAAGAAAATAAGCTGACAAAGGGACATCACCCACAATAGGCTGGGCACTTACTAGCTGTGCAACCTAGAAGTGCAGGCCTCAAACTTTCTCAAGAAGGCACGTGTGGATGTGGATGGAGGGCGGAGAACTGGGAGAGATTACTCCAAACACTGTCACTGTCAGAACTGCCACATGTCCTCATGTGGAAGCTAACTTTATTATCCAGTGTGAATGTCCTGTTAGGGCTGAGGTCTCTGGACCACACAGATCCACTCTGCACATCTGTGCTCTCTCCCTGCAGCTGCTTGCACTTTTCACAAGTGCCTCTGGCAGGCCTGAGTGAAACACAACTTGAAGTTTTCTTTCCCCCAAACTTTTCCAAATCTGTTTCCTCATATGGAACATGGCAATGCTATCTGTGCATACACTTTCTCTTAGGTGACGAAGAAATTAAGATGGATAATGGATGTTTCATAAATTTAAATTCTTTATAAACTGAAAGGCAATAAATAAAAGCAAAAATCTTGTTATCGACAAGTCCAAACATAAGCACATAAGAACAAGAGAAGAGATGCTGAGGAGAAAAGACCTGCATTTCTTTTGCATCTCCGCCATTCGCCGACCTACCAGCATTTGCTGCCAGGAGCTCCCATAGAAACTAGTTACAGCTGTTCTTGCTCGAGTTTACATAACTAAAGGTAGTCCTGATTTTCATTTTTCCAAGTGCAGGGCCAGTGTGGGAAAATGCCCTCAACAATGGATAATATGAATAAGCTGGGCCACACAAGGGCACTAGCACCACCTCCATAAAGAGTCTGTGGATTACTGATTATTTTAACACACGAAAACGCTGAATTCCCTGGACACATTCAATAATGATTAGCGATGAAAAACTTCCATAAACAGAAGCAAATTATATCTGAACACAGCCTCACCGGAGCAATCACCGCCATCCCAATCACAGGCTGAATTGTTACAGGCCTTGTCACAGTAGCCGTCCTTGATCCAGGAGCCCGGGCAGCCCTCGGCACAGTTCGGCACAGGCCACGTCAGGTAAACCTACGAGAAAACCAGAGAGAATAGAAAACGGGTTCTGATGCTTTTCCCTCTCAAATCAGAATTCCTTTTAAAAAAAAGTGAGCCTCTGGAAAAGGTTAATATTTTCTACAGGCTGACGGCATTCATGTGGCACACTTTGCCTTAAGTTCTGCTCTTTGGATAATTCTTACTGAGCACATCTCCGCTGTTTATTACTCAAGGAAAGCGGACAAGGATTCAGCTCGTGGATTAGTTTCTCACGCCATGGTTTTATAATATATTGTGGGTGAAAGGGCAACCTGTCAGACTTACACGGGAGCACAAACGCATGCCAAAGTGGAGGAAAGTATACCACATGGCTCACTACTTTTCTGTGACAACTGTCATTAACTCCTGAGTGTATTTGTGCATAGCCTTGCATCGTGGCTTAAAGAAAATGGCAGATGAACTCTAAACGTCCTTTTCTACAGGCACGGGGTTCTGTGACAAGTTAACCAGCCCAGCAGTCTGAGTTGTGAGCTCATCTGCTTTCACGATGAGTTATATGGTACATGGTGACATTTTTTTTTGGGTCTTTTTAAAAATTTTATTTTAATTGTTGTTGCAGTATAATTTTCTATAGTGGTGACTTTTTAAATTAAAATAATTTTTAAAAATATGCTCTCTTTTTCAAGCCCGCATGCCTTTAGACATTCCATCTATTTGGAATCTAACTTCTACTTGTTCTTCAAAGTTTGTCTCAATTCAGATGAACAGGGAATTCTTCCCTATTGCTGTCTGATTTCAACCTCATGTGATCCCACTGCTCAGCACCCAGAGCACACCTGCTGGCATGGAAATCACTGCACAGGTCCCTGATTTTGTGTGTCTCCCCTGTGAAGCTACTGCTCAACCCTGCCACACTACAGGCTAACACAGGGGAGGCCACAGAATGGGGCACCGGACAATGAGCACACTAGGATGGCATAAACAGCAGCAGAAAAAGGAGCTTTGTGCAGTTAGCACTTGCAGTTGGCAGAGTTCTGTCACAAGCGTATGGTGATAAGTCTCCAGCTTATCAATGAATCTTTCTAGCAATGCCACAAGGGTAATCCTATTTCCCGCAGCAGGCACACAGAAAATACAAAGGCTCAGGTCATAGACCAGGACCATCCTAAACAATTGGCTCCTGGGTCTGTACTCATAACCACTTCTCCATCCTGCCTCCCAAAGCCAGAGTGAGACCAGGTTTGGTAAGATTTCATCCACGCCTTTAAGCTGAAAATTGAGCTAGCTTTCTGTCAGTCACTTTGCTGACACTGTAACCATGATTTTGTGTTTCATCATGATTTTGTTTTTCCTGCCGCTGTAGAAAATTTATTTATTTATTTATTTTAATCCTTACCCAAGAGGATGTTTATTAATTTTCTTATCCTCACCTGGGGACATTTTTTTCATTGCTTTTAGAAAGAGAGGAAGGGAGAAACATCAATGGGAGAAACATTGACTGGGTGCCTTCTATACGTGCCTGGACAGGGGACTGAACACGCAACCTAGGCATGCAACCTAACTGGAAATTGAACCCACAACCTTTTGGTTACAAGACGGCACTCCAACCAACTCAGCCATATGGGCAAGGGAAATGCTCATTAATTTTAGGGAGAGGGTAAGGGAGGGAGAGAAACATTGATGTGAATGAGAAACACTAATCAGTTGCCTCTTGTATGCCCCTGGACTGAACCCACAACCCAAGCATGTGTCCTGACCAGGAATCAAACCCATGACCTTTCAGATTATGGGACGATGCTCCAACCAACTGAGGCACACTGGCCAGGGTGTAGTAGAAAATTTAGAAGTTCAGGGAAAAAAAGAGGGGGTTCTGGGCATCTGAGAATGTAGGCAAGTGAAAAACTATTAGGAAATACTTTTCTTTTTCCCAAATTGTAACTCTCCTGAGCTTAGCACTCAAAAATACTTGTTTGATCAAATCTGAGTATAGTAGTATATATACCGATTCCTGATTTCCCATTGATAACCTCCAAGTGACTCCCAAGCTAGGCATCCCCCCTTCCTCTTAGCTACTCACCTTCTGACCTTTGGAGTGACTATAAAAATCATCTGGCCACACATCCTTCCCAAACATGACATCGTCATTCAGGTAAATAAACTTCTGGGACAGTCCTTTGATGCGATGAATGTGACTTTCAATAGCTGGTGAACTAAAGGTAGGCAAGTGGCTCAAGTTTCGAAAAACATCCTTTTAACCAAAAAACAAACAAACAAACAAACAAACAAACAAACACACACACAAGAGAGAAAGAGGGTGAAAAAGTGTTTTTTCTTTCATTTTTGTTTTTGGAAGGAAGGAAGGCAAATGGAAGAATTAAAGGAAGGTGGAAATGGAGGTAAGGAGGGTGAAAGGGATGAAATTAGGAAAAAGTAAAAGAACAGTGAAAGACAGGAAAAAAACCCAGAGCCTTGTGATATATGGAAGTCATGTACCTGGTGTGTTACTATTGTTACTCGAGGATTATCAAGGTTCAGCCAGGACGGAATCTGCCCATTGGTGACAATGAAAATATTCCGAACCCACGGTGCATGCCTCTCAATAGATCTCAGTGAGTATCTCAGCTCTTCATTATCTTCAAAACGGCTGGCAGAAACATCTTCATCCTGCTTAGACTGAGAAAAACATTTGGTACATGAAGACCTAAAATATCCCTTCAGTCACACCTCCTCCTCGGTCTCTCCCCCTGCCCTTTCAGTTCTCAGGGTGCTCTGGCCGACTTTTAAAGACCCAATCTTATAAGCCATTCAAAGAAAGACAAGTACCATATGATTTCACTCATATGTGGAATCTAATGAACAAAATAAACTAACAAGCAAAACAGAGACAAACCCATAGACAGAGAGCAGGCTGACAGCTGTCAGGGGTATGGTGGGGAGGGCTTGAGGGTAGAGAGATTGAAAGAAAAAAGAGAAAAAACCTCATGGACGTGGAAAGCAGTATGGGAATTGCCTGGGGAAGGGGTGGAGGAGGGAAAGGAGAGCACAGGAAGGATTCGGTAAACGATGATGAAAGGAGACTTAACTCGGGGTGATAAACACACAGTACAGTTCAGATGGCACATAGGTTACGGAACCATGCACCCGAAACCTGTATAATTTTGTTACCCAGTATCACCCTGATAAATGCAAAAAAAAAGGGGAAAAAAAGACCTGGTGTTACTTTTAAACATTACAAAAACTGCAAAAGACTCCGCATAGTTACAACAGCACAAATATACAGCATTTCTTTAACACACTTTTTAGAAAAGGTTCTTGGATCTCATTCTAGGTCACTTCAGTTAATATTAACTGATAGCAATAACTAGAAAATTAGAAAAGTTCCAATCAAGTCCTCTTCCTTCTTCAAACACAGTGAAGTGATTGATAAATCTTTAACAACCTGAACAGGTGCAGGTTTTAAAAGTATCCTGGCATCCCTTACCTGGCTGATGGCGCTCAGATCCCATAACAAATACGCAGGACTTATGGTCAGTTCTTTCCCATCAATGGTCATGTTCTTCTTGGTCTGCTTACTCAGTTCTTGGAACTCTCTGGGGTTGTTCAATTTCAGAAGTGCTACACTGGCCTCTGAGTACAGCTGCAACTGTAAGATAACAACAGGGTTACTGGCCGAAAAAATAGCCCTAAAGAAGAGACACTTTGAAATTCCCAGTCTTATCTTTAAACTTTAAATATATATCACACACTATATGCATATATTATATATGGTATACACCTAAATATATATTATAAATAAAGATTAAAAGTTTCATACACACACATAGAGCAAGCTAGTATCACTAAAGAAAGAAAATCTAAACGGGGCACTTTCCCCAAATGAATGGAGCAAAGCAGGAATTAAAAACAAGAAGGAGCGGCGGGGGCTATGGCAAACAGGACATCTCAGGCCCCACCTGAAAGGTGCAGCCTACTACCCAGTGCCACCAGCGCTGCCTGATCTCCTGAGAGGCCAGAATCCTTGTGTTACATGAAATCTCATTTCCTCTTTTTTTTAAATTAAAAAAAAAAAAAGTAATCTCTGGCTGGTGTGGCTCAGTGGATTGAGTGCTGGCCTGCAAACCAAAGGATCGCTGGTTTAATTCCCAGTCAGGGCGCATGCCTAGGTTGTGGGCCAGGTCCCCAAATGGAGGGCACACAAGAGGCAACCACACATTGATGTTTCTCTCCGTCTCTTTCTCCCTCCCTTCCTCCCCCTCTCTCTAAAAATAAAAAGAAAATCTTTAAAAATTTAATTATAGTTTACATTCAATAGAAACCTCCCAATTTTCAATGCTGGCTCAAAGTTTTGATTGTCATACATTCCAAAAAAAGACATTTGGTCACCAGTTTGGGAGCTGTGTTTAGAATATTACCAATCTGCTTACAGTGGAGGAAATCCCTGCACGTGACCTCACTGGGACTGGTAGGGGGAATCTGCCAGCAGCGCATCCAAATGGCCTTTGTGCCCCACATCTATAATGAATGTCTTGGGCAGAGCTGACTGACGTGCTTCCAGAATACATTTGTGGGCAAAGCATTCGAAGTAATTATAAATATAAGTGGAAACATTCTAAGCATCAACACATTTTTTTAAAATTTATTTTTAGAGAGAGGGGAAGGGAGGGATAAAGAGAGGGAGAGAAACATCAATGTGTGGTTGCCTCTTGCATGCCCCCTGCTGGGAACCTGGCCTGCAACCCAGGTGTGTGCCCTGACTGGGAATAGAACCTGCGACCCTTTAGTTTGCAGGCCGGCGCTCAATCCACCGAGCCATACCAGCCAGGGCTCAATGCATTTTATAAACAGGCTTCCCTACCTCTACCCAAGTGCACACTACCCTTGATCTGTTTACGTTCTAAACCTATATCATACAATTTCCCATGAAAAAGGCTTTCAGAACTTAAAAAGGCAGAGAGAGGACCAAAAACCACTAATCAAGGATGGCAAAACCCTTCTGCTGAACTGGCTCTTCTAACACAACCCAGGGTCTTCTTTTCTAATTCATAAAACAGAAGCAAACGCAAAGTGTTATGGGCTCAGACTAAGCTCTCGTATGTGTGACATGACTATACTTAGCTCATCTTTCAAAAGGTTCCTGAGTTTATGTAGGCCCCAAAACTAGAGGTTAGCGTTTGAATTTTATTTGTATCTTTTTACCTTCTCACTACATTACATAGGCCATTAACTCTTCCCAGAAACGGTGTGTGGGCACATGTGTGTGTACATGCTTGCATATGGACTGTCTTCCTAACTGCTGTCTTTCACCTTGGCGGTGCCTGGCATATACTGAGCACTCACGGAAGGTCGGCTCTTACTGATGTCACCAGCCTGCTGCAGTGTTGGGGCAGACGGGATGGAGGCCATGCAGGGCAAATATTCTCCTATCTGGGAACCTACAGTCTCACTACCCACCCTGAGCCTCCCCTGCTCCCTCTCTACCTCCCACTGTGGATCCCACAGCACCTCTGAGGGATCCCTGGAGTGTACAAATCACTATTCTAGGATAAATAAATATAGTACTTCCACATTCTAATTTAATTTAAAATTGAGAAAATATCTTTATCTTAATCTTCTCTTACAAACTGCTTTTATCCTGGAAAACTATTCCAAAATTTCATAGATACTTTCCTAAGGTCCCTAAACAATAACTGGAAGAGAGATGAAAAGTAAAGAGCATAAGGCAATACTGGTTTATGAAAAAGATTTTCTGCTACCACAATCTACCAAGTTGTTAGTATTGAAAAAGGTGGGGAGAAAATATCCTGTGCGAGCCACTAGGGGGCTCCCCAATCCTGGACACCTTAGTGACTTTCCAGAAAGAGACCAGAGGTGGCAGGAACCGTGGTTGTGATGAGGGCCAAAGGCTGAAGTTCTTAGTTTGGGCAACTGTGGACATCTACCTCCACATATAGCTTCTCCCCCAAAATTATAAGTTTACCTAAATTCTTAAAATCATAAGTTTCTCAAACAGAGAACCACCACCAGGGAGGGACATGTGAGCATGACTGGGAGGTAAAGCTTTGCTATTTTTAGGCCACTGACATTGCAGGACGGATGTTACTGGTTAGGGAAAAAAACATGCCAACTAATACAACCAAAAAACAAATTAGCTCCTTCTAGTAAAGTGACAACTCAAACCTACTAGGTCTTAATGTGTCCTGGTGCTTTTCTAAAACTTAAATTAGCTTGCCAGAGTTACTTGTTTAACCTACTTCAGTTTTTATTTTAGGAATAAAACCAAAAGAAAGAGAGCCATGCTGTAAGAGAGCAGGTACATAAGATAGTTTCAAGGAAGTCACTAAAAGGAGAGACATCAACACAGTATTACTGTAATTTATTATGACCTTGAACATGCCCTGAACAGAGAGGTCTGAGGGGGCAGAGTCCAGGCAGGACAGTGTGTTGTTCCCACTCTGCCTGCACTGTCCCCACTGTCCTTCCTGCTGAAACAAAAGATTTGGTCCAGCCTTAAGGATCTGGAGCAGCCTCTTTCTCATTGAAAACTTCCCAGGGCTCTGGTCCACACAGACTTCTCCTGTCTCCAAATGCCATCACCAAGTCTATACTACCCTTCTCTATACCTAATTCTATACTATCTTGTTTTGTTACTTAAATACTTAATACGCAAAGGTACTGCCTCCAGAAAGAGATTATAAATAGCCTGAGGGCAGACCCACGTCCTCCCCTTCATCTGCACACCCACTTGGCAACCACTGTCAAAGAACCAAGCCAAATGTGAGAATGCACTAGAGAGCCTTGGGAAGATTTACCACCTGCTCTAATATATATTAAAGAAGGAACAAAATTAAAAAAAAAAACAAAAAACCCACCATAAATGAAAATGTCCAAAAACACAGAAAGATTTAGAGTGATCTGAAAATAAAGGCCAAGGGACAATCTGATTTTTCAAAAGGTAAATTCTGTTTCCATTACATACAAAAATTCTACAGATAAATTCAGGGCAATTTATCAGCTCACAAAAGAACTCACCTCAAGGTGTATCAGACTAGAAAACCTTTAACAGAGAAGACTGATTTATAAGATTATAATCCAGAGTCACATTTTTATAAATTCAAATTTATTATCTTGCAAATGAAACCAATTTCAAGTCCCACCTCGTGGGGGTGTGGGGCTGAGGATTCTGGTTTTGCTCTAAACAGAGTAATAAAGACAAAATAACATTGTAGGAATACAACCACGGTACTATAAACCTCAAGTGCCTCCTGCAGATAACCATACTGCTGAGCCCCTTCACTTCATGTTCCAAGACTTTGTGTGTGACAGGTGTGTTTAGTCACTGCCTTTCTCCATGCTCATTCTTCAACAGGCATTTCTTGAGTGGCTGCCTAACTGCCAGGCCCCCTCCCAAAATCACTGGGGGTACAAAGGTGAACAGGCAGTACCTGTCCTGAGATGCTCACAGCCCAGTGAGGAGCCTCTGGGGCAGAAGAGAGCTCTAGATGGTAGAGGCCTCCTGGAGGAGCCTGGAAGGGCAAAATGGTTCAGCTGCTCAGGCCCGAGGCCTAACGGCCCTTTCCTCCCACATACCACAAAGCTCCCTAATGAAACATACCCCACACTGAGCTCAGGGTTTCCTTCCCAAAACGTTTCTTCTCCCACTGAAGCTCCGAGTGTGATCAGTGCCATCACTCCCATCTTCCCTAGACACCTCCACTTCCCCTTTCATTTTTCCTTCCTTCTCCCCTCAGCTCATAGTAAGTCACCAGGTCATGTAGAGGGGCTCTCTCAGGTGTCTCTGGAACCATTCTCATCACTGCACCACTGACAAAGCACTTGATGAACCCAAATGGCCTGCTGGGCTGGGGCAGCAGTGGTGAAACTGGTTTCCCTGCCTCCAAACTCCTCTTGCCTAAGCTCCGTCTGCTACACTTCCCCTGCTGTGTTTCTGAGAAGGGGATCCTCCACCTCCTAAAGAAGCTCCCTGCCTCCAAAATAAAGTCCAGGCTCTTTACCAGCAGATCTTCCTCAGTCTGACCTCGATGTACCTTCCCAATCTGAACACCAGCAAAAACCCTGCCTGGGCTCTGGCCTCCAGGAACACCTGTCCTGAGCTTCTGCAAACACCACTGATGTGCAAGCTTCCAGCCCTTTGCTCAGGGTGCTCTCTCTTGCAGGAATGGTCTTTCCTACTCCCTTCCCTGCTGAGAGCATGGCTGCTCTGTTCGAGGCCCAGGTAAAATGCCTCCTATTCTGCAAAGCCTGCCTTGCCCCCCGTGCACCTAAAACCCAGGTGTTTCCACAGCACTTTCTATCTGTAAACACATTTAGAGGTGATTACACCCAAGAATTCCGTAAGTGCTTTTATTCACTCAGTTATCCTTAGCACCGAGTCTGGCACCCAGCAGGCATTTAATAAGCACTCCCTACATGGACTGGAAACCTAGTGACAGGAAACCTCATTCTCGTGGCACTCATAACAAAACCGGGAAGTAGAACCTGAGAAAAGAGTCACTTGAAGTACTGAGCTCCAATGCTGACACAGACCTTCTATTCTTCCTCTTTCTCTAGCTTCCAGAAAGTCCTAATCCCTGGAGTTGACCGCAGGTGTGGACATCATGAAAACGACTTGCCATGAACATTATGGATAATGAACTTGACCCTCGAAGAGGTGCTGGCCTCCACCAAGACAAGTCCGAGAATCCCAATAAATCTCCAAACAGGAGAATGAACAATGGAAGGTGGCATTATCATGCACAGCGACTACTGGTACTCCCTGTCCGATTCAAGTTACTACCCCACCTTAGCTGCACCAACACACACCACTCCCTACCACCCACAGAGAGTTTGCTAAGGGCTGACCGTGGGCCAGTCAAACCTGAGCAGAGAATGGAGAAGTGTCATGAAACTTCTTTCCTTTAAAAATTTATTACAATTGGAATTACATACACGGAATCAAGAATGTCATTGTTTCTGCATAAGAAATGTGAGCCGACAATCAAAAGTAAAGACATACCTAAAACCAACAACTAGGAAGCCAAGAGGCCACATAAACATGGCCAAAGTAAATATTAATCTACAGCTTTATCTGCCCAAATCAGCACTAAAAATAACTCAGGGGAAGGAGGAATATAATATCTATTTTCAAATAGCTGCAGATTAAGAAATAATTCAACCCTAATCTAGCTGGACACTATCCTATTTCCAGGTACCATAAAAAAAGTTATGGAGAAAAATATTAAAAAAAGAAAAAACATAAATGTTATTCATTTATAAAGATAATGCAATGTATCTTAAGACAGTGCAACATAGGAAAAAAGAGTTGGAAGGAAGCATGTAAAAAACATGGTCAAGACAGGGACCATGTAAGAACCACCAACCACAGATCCCCCCCCACCAGTACGTCCAGCTCTATCCTTCACCTCCAAATTGTTCAGTAACATCAACAGGAACAAGGTATAGACAGCAGTAAGCTAAACACAGTTGCAAAACTGAAAGAACATTTCTTTGTAATATCAAGAAAACCAGGTCCCAGCAAATTTGGAGCCAAGAACTTCATGCACTCTCTTCTAAGAGAAGAGATCCACATTTTACAACTGGCATGATTCTGACAGACAGCAGGCATCTTTTTTTTAAAGATTTATTTATTTATTCACCAATGTGAGAAAGAAACATCAATCGGTTGCCTCTTGTACATACCCAACTGAGGACCAAACCCACAACCCAGGCATGTGCCCTGACCTGGAATTGAACTAGCGACCTTTCACCTTGCAGGACAACAAACAACCAAATGAGCCACACCAGTCAGGGCAGACGGCAGGCATCCTGACATAAGGTCAAATGAAAAGTATACTCACATGACCTGTGCCCTAATTCAACTAGGCAAATGGCTCTGAAAACAATAAACGTTAAAGACAAGGCATGTCACAGGTCACCCTCCAAAGTCAACTCTAACAAACAGCATCACTGGTCAAGCATGAGGAGTTAAAGTTTAAACCCTAAATATGTTAATGGCTCAACTAGCTATTAATGAATGGAGGTTTCACATGATCAAATGTTCCAAATACCTGAAGCCCAGTCCCCGTGAAAGAAAGCTCTCAATAAATACACAGGGTGGAGCCTGTGAAAACTCACTATGCGGGTGATGCCCCCATATCCTTCCTCCGTGCTTTCATTTCCTTACACTGTAAGTGCCATTGGGTCTTTGTCTTTTCGTCCACAGCTATATTCCAGCTGGTATAACAGAACATGACACATGGTAGAAGCTCATTCGTTAAACAAATGACCCTGCTTCTATCTAGGAAACCAGCAAACAAAATAAAGTTCTTACAATTTTACCCAAATTAAGAGTAAGGAGTGACGCCTGGGCCAGATAGCTCAGTTGGTTAGAGCATCGTCCTGATATGCCGAGGGTGCGGGTTTGATCCCCGGTCAGGGTACAGACAAGAAACGACCAGTGAATAAATACACGGAACAAACAGATGTTTCTTTCTCTCTCTCAAATCAATGTAAAGAAAGAGTAAAGAGTAAGGATCTCCTATAAACAAAGGGGCATCTTCATCACAACATACTGTAGCAGAATAGAAGTCCTCTTAATGTCGCAGGTTCAATTCCCAGTCAGGCCACATACCTGGGTTGCAGGCCACGGCCCCCAGCAACCGCACATTGATGTTTCTCTCTCTCTCTCTCTTTCTCCCTCCCTTCCTCATTTAAAAATAAATAAATAAAATCTTAAAAAAAAAAAAAGAATAGAAGCCCTCTCTTTGGTTCTTATGATAGTTAGTTGTCCTTTGAATGGAATGAACCACAAGAGAAGAGTCATGCATTAAATGAGATGTTCTGTGCTGGTTGCTCTACTTTCCAGGCTCTTACCAGTTTTATTTTAGAAGAAAGATTTTCTGGCAATTTCGTTCTTAGTTGGTTTGTTTCCTTGAATGTTGGTGGAAACCCACTCAGGAAAGCCAAGTCTTGCATTAGCACTAGCCCAGGGACTTCTTTATCTGTTGTCTAAAATAAGAGGAGGTAAAACACAACTCACTTTCCATCTCATAAGGCTGGTGAAAACAGCAGATATCTATTGTATCACACAAGCTTCAAAGTAAGAATTAAGGTCACTTAAACCAACATGTATCAATACTAACAAGCTAGCCTTAGAGGAAAAGTAAATATTAAAAAAGCCTCTCAATGTAAAACAGCTTTATTACTCATTCTTGCACTCTGGTCTACTGTAAAAACAAAATTAATTTAAAATAACATACCAAATAGCCTCTCCAAACTGTCTGCTTGCTGTTTCCCTTGAACATTTCAGTGTGGGCATCTTCAACTACAATAAAGAATAAAATAAACAAGCCTATTAATGAATACTTAACTGTAATATCTGGCAGGACATTGTATAAAGCATTCTGAGAGCTGTTAAAACAGTATAACACACAGTTTCAAAAGAAGGAAATTCGAGGAGACAAAACCCATCCAACAAAAGGGGATCAATGTAACTCAGTGCCTAACACATGTGAAATGTCGCAGTACGCAAGGAGAGATCATGTGGGCAGCAGACTTGGAGACGGCAGACCATCTGACAGAAATCACTGCTGTAGGAACAAACAGAAGGGGGCTCTTGAGAGCCAGGCCAGTGGCATTTGGATTAACAGCAGGGACACACTGTAGCTCCTAGAATTCCTTGGGAGTCACAATGAATTCAGGTAATGCTGAAAAGAGCAGTTGAATGTGGCAGTGGGGTGGGGGTAGGGGGTAGCGGGGCTGGGAATGACACAACCCAACTGGCAGAGGTTTCTAAAACCTCACACTTGCTGCTGACATTTGGGATCATGGAAAACAGGAGAGAGGTCAGATGGGTAGAATCCTGACCTTCAAAAAATGGGCCCAGAAAGCCAGTTCTGCACATTATAGCCTGGCAAGACAGATGTCAATCCTGGATAAGGGTCTCAAATGTCCCACAAAGATATACTTGGTGAACACTGAAGAAAAGAGAAGTTTCTGCAATATACTGTTTATCTTTAAAGCAAGCACTGTGAGTTCATTATGAATAAGCTTCTCAGATGCACACCTATGTCTGTCTCTGTCTCTCTCACCAATGATATGGTGGGTTCTACAATGACAGGTCAGATAATTCTTATAGATGCCATGTATGTATTTGTATATAATCCCAGCAGGGTGGCTAACAACATCTCATACCATCTTTGTGGATATAATGGAAATACACAGGCTAGATCTCAAGTTGTATGGGTTATAATATAATCAATTCTGACTGGAGAGTGTGAAATTACAAAGCCACAATCAACCTAGAGAGGTTTCAGAGGTCTGTCATTGGTGCTACCTTGTTCAACAATCCATTAAGGTTTTGGCAGACACAGATGCTTGTGAGGTGTGTTTGCATAACATTGACAGAGAAGCTATTATCCTGGGTAACAGACTAAGGGTTCTCCTAGTTCTTACTATTTAGAACAATGAGCCCAATCAAGCAAAATAAAATCTCCTACAAACAAAGGTAAGACTTTTAACTGGGCACCAAAAACCATCCGCACAATCACAAATTAAAAGAGGTATTTGAACATTAGCACATGCAAGTTTTTTTCAAAACTTAGGAGTTTTAGTCCACAGTGACTTCAGTATGAGTCATCAATGTGCTATGGCCACACTGAATTTCCATCCCAATTTTCTGCTGTTAAACAGAAGAGTACTTAAAATAAGAAAGGCAATGCTCCCCAACACTGCCCCATCAGAACACCCTGTTGCGTTAACCTTCAGAAAACCCAGAATCCAGCCACTTCTCACCACCACACTGATCCACACCACCTTCCCTCCTGCCTGGATTAGTTCAACCTTTGCCCCTCCCCCAGCCTATCCCCACCACAGCAGCCAGGCTGACCCCTTTGGAACGCAAGTCAGATCACATTACCCCTCCGCTCAATGCTCTCCAATGATTCCTCATCAAACCTGGTTAAAGGCGAAGTCCTTGTCATGGCTCCCAGGGCCTACACCATTTGGCCCCGTTATTTCTCTGGTTCATCTCTTGTCCCCTCTTCTCTCATTCACTCTACTCCGGCCACAGCAGCCTCCCTGCTCTTCTTCAAACATGCCAGACCCACTCCTGCCTCACAGCCTTTGCGCTGGCTGTCCCACTTTACCGGACTCCCTCCTTGCTCACCCTCTTCAAAGTTTCGCTCAGAAGTCACCTTCTCAGTGAATCTGCCCCATCACCCAATTTCCCTGGCTTAATTTTTCTCCATTGCACTTATCTTCTACAAACAATATATTTACTTGTATGTTGTAGTTATGGTCTGTCTCTTTCTACCAAAATGTAGACTCAATGAGGGCAGAGATTTTCTTCCCATCTGCTCACTGCTGCATCTTCAGCGCTGTGAACAGTACCTGGCACACAGTATGCACTCAATAAACATTTGTTAAATGGATGGTCAATGTGCAGAACGATCCGCACTGAAACAGAATGCTCAATTTCAGCTGACACACTTTGAAAGTAATAGAAACTACAGCTCATTCTGAGAAGAGCAAAGGAAGACACAGCCAAGCCCCTAAGACACAGCTAAAGAAACAAGACTAAAAAGAAATGTCGTATGGGAAAAAGATTACATTAGTTCTGTAGAACCACAGGGGGTACAAACTGAACCAGTGTGAGAAACCTGTAAAGAAGCACTTTGCAATTCCTTTTAAAAGTCAATGTAGTCCAGAGGTGAAATGAACTGTCACAGAGGAAATTCCCTTCCGATACATCAAAGGGGATGGGCTTGACCACTCTGCCGAGGAGACCCGGGTCCAGGCCCGAGGGCTGGACTGTGGGACTGCTGAAGTAGTGTCGGAAGGATAGAGTGTAAGACACAAGTGAGGAGGAGCAGAAATGACACACTTGAGAAGGAAAAGAAAAAGTAAATCACTCTCAATAATTAACTAGAAAAAACGCTAAATGAGATAAATGAAATGTCAAGTGTGGCCACACAGTGTTTATCTAAATCAGAGGCTGGCAGTCCACAGCCAAATTCTAGCCTCTGCCTGTGTTTGTATGGGCTCATGGAGAGAACAGTTTTAACATTTTAAAAAAGGCAAATGATAAATTCTTATATAAACACCTACATAACATTTGCCATTTTGGCTGTGGCCCAGAAAACCTAAAATACTTACTATCTGGTCCTTTAAGAAAGGATTTGGCAATCCCTGATCAATATAATGGAAGATGGTAAAGAGCAAGTTTGTGATCCACTATAAATGTAAGCTCATGAAGGCAGGAATGTGTCTTTTTTGTTTTCTGCTGTTTCCCTGTTACCTAGAACAACCACCACCCCAGAGCAGGCGCTCAGCAAGCCTTTACTGAATGAGTGACTATAATATGTAGAACAGTCAAATAGAAACCCAAGTAGGAATTCAACAGTGTTTAGAAGTCTGCAGTTCACTACTGATTTCACTTATCAAAACTCACAATCTTTTAAGTTTTCACTACATTACAAAATTAGTAGAGGAAAATCCAAGATTCTTCCCATAGATGTTATAACTGAGTTATAATTGTTGACACATTGGCATTCCTTTTTTTCTTCAGCCAAAATGCTGTCAGAGTACCTTAACTTAAGGAAATCTTAATTTAAAAAAAACAAGCAAATAAAACAGATAACTTATTATAATTCGTCAGATTATCCTTTACTTTCCTTATACATATTTAAAGTATAACTTAAATTATAAAAAAAAACCCTTAAGTTATTTATACTAAATTGTCTAGGAACAGATCTATAGTGTGAAGGGGGAGATGTCTGTACTTGGAAAGATTATAATTTCCTATCAAATTACAAACAATTGTGAAGTGCTCGGACGTGAGCACTACGTTAGATACTGTTCAGGACACGAACTGGTGCAGGAGGGCTGAGGTGTCTGCTCAGTAAAGACATGAGATGAGAACACCAGAGACTCCAGGGCAATCAAAGGGAAGTTGTGAGCTAGGTTACAGGTATTACGGGAATGTGGAAAGGTAAACATAAAATCACTGTGAATGTACTAGTCCAGGATCTTCACGGAGGAGAAAGAACTTGAGGCGGGGCTGGAAGGAACAGGAGAAGGGCTAGGAGAGGAAGAGGAACGGAGCGGCAGGCAGCACCACACACATGTGAAGACAGTGCCAGCTTTGAGGAGACGCAAGAGACAGGGGTGCCAGAATCGATGGGCAAAATCAAAGCAATTAACACTGAATACTGAACACCGGGAAAAGGATTTTGTATCTGTGAAAAACAAATATAGACCACTGCACTGTTCTCTTTAGAAGGGAACGAATTGATAGAGCCTAGTTTCCGACTTCCTGTGTATACAGTTGTATGCCAGACAGATAAGAGAACTTCGCAGAGAAGTGGGGCGTCTAAGACGGGAGGCTGTAAAGGAATTCAGTATAGTGTAGAGGAAATAAGTAAGAAAGGTTAGAATCTAAGAATCACTTGCAAAGAACAAAAATCAAGTAATGAGATTATTAGTTATGCAGGTGAAAATTAAGAATGGGTTAAAGATAGTCCCAAAGATGCAGCAGGGAGGCAGAACACGGAAGGCACGGGAACTTGAGGCTAAGACTCAGTGCTGTCAAGGCAACATCCCAGTTTCCACTTTACATGAGTGAAAAACAGCCTCCAAGCAGGGGTTCAGTGCAGAGGAAGTTTAAGAGATAAGAAGGAGATGCAGGTATGGGGTTCACGGGCTAAGGGGGAGGAGAGGCTCTCTAAGGATGGAAGTAATTACAGTTTAATTTCAATTCTATAACAGTTTAATTTCAATTCTATAACATGGCCAAATCAACTTCGTAACCAGATGCTTCAGAGTGTAAAGTATGAATGCTCCAGGTATGTTCTGTCCAGAATGCAGGAAACAACCTTGTGGAATAGTTATGTGGTTTATAAAGAAAAGCATCCAGAATAACTGAGAGCCCAGAGAGTAAGGTAAATGAGAGAGTACTAGGTTGAAGGTCCTGACCTTCAGCACAGAAAGCACATGCTGTAAGCACAGAGTAAGACACATGCAATCCCTCCCTGAGGTTACGGTTGAGATACAATGGCAGCTTTTTGCTCCTCCTTTTATTTCTTTAAAATTGCATCACTTCTGTTCTAGTCAGAATTTTTCAATTCAAAACACCCAATGATAACATGACTTTAAAATACCCACAAGAAGACCTTACCATTCTTAGTACTGTCGAAAACAACAACTGAAACATTAGTGGAAGGGTTTTTAGGTTTTGCAACATTGAATATGTCGCTGGCAGAATGAAAAGAAGGGTAAAGAGATGGTAGGTCCTTCAGTGTAACGTTGGCCGGCAGGGCTGGGTCCAGGACAAGCATTGGCACCTTAATGCAGTGTGTCAGCAAACATTCCAGCTGCTTCTCACTGGAAAGAAACACCAACATACTCACAACTCCATTCCTGAAAAATTAACCAACACTAAAAAGCTTGTTGGTACTACTAAAATTTCCCGCTGTTTTTCTATAGCCTATTTAAAAATTATAATATTTTAATAAACAAGGAATTTTATTTCAAGAATAGAAGAGTTAGCATAATTAGCAAGTACGATATATAAAATCATTAAACAAGCGTAAATCTAAATAGAGCTTTCAAATTTCTATTAATAAAATATGATTGCCACCCAAATTTACTAACTCAAAATGGCATAACAAATAAGCATTTCATTACCATCATTTTAAAGATTATTCATAATTCCAGTGAAACCCACACTCAGGCTAATGAGAAGTAGATAAATTCTGGTGGACAGAGTGTCACCATACTAGACACAATTTACCAAGTCCGATCAGAATACAATGAAATATATTGGATATGACACAGCACTGATGCAAACAAAAGCAAATGGGACAGGTTCTAAGATGATTTTATGTTAGTCATTTCTATCTACATGTAAGAAATACCCAGAATAAACATATTACCTAAACACAGGAATGGGCAGAGGACACAGCTAGACAATTCACAGAGTGGGAGCCGTGTCTAGTTAAATAATATATAAAACTATCCAACCTCACTAATAATCAAAGAGATGCAAAAAAAAAAAAAATGAGGTAACACCTTTTGTTTAAATTTGCATCCCTCAAAGAATGGTGACTCAATGTTAGTGCAAGTACAGTAAACCTATTCGTCTCCAAAACTGCTGGCATCACCCTAAATGTATGTTTGCCATTTACTCTTTGAAAATCAATTTGGTTGAATATCCATATAGTATTAAACATACATATGCTTCTTCCTCAGTGGGTTACTTCCCTGAATCTAGTCCAAATCAGAGAAGAGAAACAGGAAAAGCAAGCCCACACAGAGAAAATGCCACAGACTCACATAAAATGTCACAAAGTACTGACAAATGTGAACATACGTAAGTATCCAACATTTGGTAAAGTATAGTACAGTTATACTTTGTGGGATATTATACAATGTCTAAAACTCCAACTAAGCATAAGTAAATAAGCATAAAGTAATAAGCATAAAGATAATTTATCAATATAGAAATATGAATAATGACATAAAATTTTAAAAATAAGATAGGAGAAAAAATTGCCCATGGATGATAAATTTTAACTATAAAAATATGGTTGCAAAGGGAGTAATAAAATGATCATAGTTGTTGAATGAGAGCCATCGAATTCTATGAGGTTTTTTTTTTTTTTTCATTTTCCTCTCAATCTCTCTGGATGTTGCACCATTACTTTACCTTAAAAGACATTTAAAAATAACAGTATTGAGAGTAATAGGTATAAATAAATATATATAATTAACAGATGATTTGGAAGGTACTTCTGGATCTCAAAAATGCTCAGAATCACTTTTCTACAGATAACTTTTATTTTCAGATTTTATTTTAAGATTAGTAGGGAAGTGGCTGCTAACAAAGATTTCTGCTTCTCAGTGACACAGTCTTGTTTTAAGGACCTCAGTCAGGTATGATTCAAATCAAGACAGATATATCTGATTTTTTTTCATTGAGCTAAATTCCTTTCCCAGTCCCCAAATAAAAGACATACAACTTTTTAACAGCATTTAAAGAGAATGAAATATACATTAAGCACATAATTAAATAATGGATACAAATGAAAACACTGGGTATAAGGTAGAGTTTAAGTGAACCAAGAGGACAAACAGTACACAGAGACAGATTAATGGGGATGATAGGGAAGAACAACGTTTCTAACCCTTCCAAGAAAGGATATAGCTTTGGTTAGCTATGACCCAGATAACTAGAGTTCTCAGTCAACAACACCTTGGGCGCTGCAAAATTTCCCATCTAATCGATGCATGTAATTTGGGGGGCCAAAAACTAGTCAAAGAGGGATTCAACAGGAGCAAAGGAGTTAATACAAACTACTGTATTCCCAACAAAAACAACTGAGAACTCGGAAATTTCACTTTGATTCTTCAATTTTTATTCCTGAGAGGCAAGTCAAATTGCTTACCTCTTCTTAGTTGGTTCTGTTGTGTTCTTGCCAAGGATTTCTCTAATGAAAGAGAAAAATACATTTCATTACATATGCATGGACACAGCCCTAAATGTGAGAGATTACTTATAACACTGATTTTGAGCACTGATTTTAACATTGAAGGTACATAATAAATTATACATTTCAATGGAATATGACCAACAAAAATTATCATGTAACTTCAACAGTAACCATGAGAGTTTACTTAAAACATAAGCCTTTATACTTTACTAGTAAAACACGGTACCAGGCTATAAAAGCCATTTTCATGCACTGGGAAGGTCTTATTTATGCTCTAACACTGAGAAAAAAAGATTCTTTGTTGTAGTATAATCTGGCCAATGACCTGCACCTGGGGTGTACCCATAACATTCACAAAGGAGTGAATGGAGTAGTTCTCAGCAAATATTCCTAAGGAATCAAAGGGGAATTTACATCAGCCAGGTCCATAGCACTGAAGTCTCTCCAGAAGCCCACTGTTCCTTTCTCAGATAAAGTAAAAAAAAAAAAAAAAAGGTAAAAATTCCATATTAAGCCCTGGCTGGTGTGGCTCAGTAGACTGGGCACCGGCCTGCAAAATAAAGGTCGCTGGCTCAATTCCCTGTCAGGGCACAGGCATGGGTTGCAGGCCAGGTCCCCAGTAGGGGGCGCGTGAGAGGCAACCAACTGATGTTTTTCTCGCACGTGGATGTTTCTCTCCCTCTCTTTCTCCATCCCTTTCCCTCTCTGAAAATAAATAAAATCTTTAAAAAAATTCCATATTAAAAAATTACCCAAGTTTCTAGTTCCATGGTATACAAATTGATATTAAAAGGAATCTGAGATGCAGAATTTTATTTGGATAGCACTGTAAACGTCACTTTACCCTTCTGAGCTGTACTATTACTTGTACTTGTAGAACCTTCTGTGGTCTGTTTTTTCAAATCTCAGTTTTACCTCATTGCCTTCTGCTCCTCTTCCATCTGTTCCCTGACTTGCTGGAGTTCCTTCAGCAGTTCAAGGTCAGTGCCATTCACCCAGGTATACACCACGTCGATCGGCATGGGCAGACAGAGCCTAGGGCAAACCCACAAGTCCTCCAGCTCATACGCATTTTTCCAGTATGTTTGGGAATAAGAGTATGTTTCAACTTAGAGGTTGTGAAAAAAATCAATGAGAAGGTAAGTCCACCACGGCATGTTTTCAAACTGGAGCTGATAGAGGTTGAGAATTTTTCTTTATGCGGTTTATGTGCTTGATGTAGTTAGTTAGCATCATTTAACCCTCACAACCACCTTGGAAAGTTGCTGCTATCACTCCACATTGAAGATTGGGGGTGGGGAAAGTCTTAGAAGTTCACATTAATCTGCTGCATTCTCAGTTTAGCAAAAACTGGTATATAAATGCAGCCATAGAAATAAAAACTAGAAGCTTAAAATTACACCATAAAAGAGTTACCAAGCAGTCAAGAATGAAGACCTAGCTCTGTCTCTATTTAATGCTGCAGCCTTCCTGTTCCTTGCTGCCACCAAGAACTAGAACACCCCCCTACCCCCACCCCTGAATGTAAGCTCCAAGAAAGCAGGAAACTTCCCTGTTTTATTACCTGAAGTACCCAAACCACTGGAACAGTGCTTGGCACATAGAAAGAAGCTCAGCAAATATTTGCTGAATGAGTCAATGATTTCTGTGAGACAATAGCACAGAAGAACTTCCCAAACCTGCTCGATTTTTTCCTTATAATCTTATCCTCAAGGAGTCAGGCAGGCTTTTGATTCTTGAATATCCCACCTAAGCCTCATCTTAGTGTTTTTGTCCAGGTTGCACCCCTGCTAAAAGCCTTTTTTCCCCTTTTGTCAACTTACCAAAATCCTACCCATCTTACAGAGTCTGCTCTGTACCTATGAAACAGGAGTCCACAGTGATATATGACATGTGCTTCGGATGCTTCTGTTTCTAGTCTGGCCTTTTCTAAGTGATGGTATGGCATAGTTTTTTGTTGTTGTTGTTTGTTTTGGGGTTGTTTTTTTAGGCCAAGGACTGAAGCTTACCCTCCTTTTGTCTTCCTCACAGGGGCCAGGCATAGGTTAAGGCCCAGAGCAGTATGAAGGGTTCCAAAGACTGGCCAAAACCATACGTCTTTGCTGGTGGCTACCATCACATCACCCAGTGCAGGGTTAAATATCTCAGGGGAAAATAAATGTGGTTTGGTGGATAAATCTCTCATATTACAAAAGGAACAAAAAGAGAAGTAATAACCACTTTGAGCTTCAAAGAAGCAGATGAGGCGATGAGAAGAAGGGAGTGTCTATCCATTCATCGAATAAATATTTACTGAGCACTTAGTATGTGCTAGGTACTGTTCTAGATGCTGGGGGTCCAGCAGTAAATTAAACAAAACTCAGATCTGTGCCTTCCCGGAGCTGACATTCTAGAAAGGTGAAAACAAGAAGATGATGTTACGTTATTATGGAAAAAACAAAGCCGAAAATGGGAATACAAAGTATGCCTCTGTGGGAGGTCTGGGTTAAACAGGGAAATCAGAAATGGCCTCACTGGAAGGGGGCCTTTCAGCAAAGATGTGAATGAAGTAAAGAGGCAAGACATGAAGGTAACTGGGGGAAGAATGGTCCTGAAAAAGGGAACACTTGGTGCAAATGTCCAGCAGACATCTATCTAGCATGGCGACAGGCCAGTGTGGCAGAGACACTGGGAGCAAAGGGAAGAACATAAAAGGAGGTGGCATTAAATAGGTACCAGGGGACCCAGAGCTTCATGGGGAAAACGAGGAATCACCTCATACTCAGGCATAGGTGATCGTGAGCATCTACCAACCCTCCTGCCAAGGTTCACCACTGCCTGCAAATTAAAATCTAAACTTCTACATAATCTGCACCCTGTGTTCTAGACACTCCAACTGTATACCCTTACCCAATATGGTAAGAGCCTGCAGGCTTCTGTGCCTTTGAACGTGCTTCCCTCTCAAACTAGAATATCCTCTTTCACGCTTCTTTCATCCATTTCCTCCTTTCCCAGTCACTGTGCCTCTTCCTTCTCCCCCCACAAAAAAAAATGTACCGCTTAACAGGCAGCTTCTACTGTGCTTTGTACAGTACGGAATCCTTGGTACCCCGTGTTGCACTATTTTTCATGCGTGTCTATCTTCCACTAGATGGAGTATCTCTAGAATAAAAGTGTTACCATTTATTCTGCGTCCTGCTTCATTATTTCCTCTCTGTCCTTTATCTTTGGGCTCTTTTCCTACTGTAATTGTGTGAGTTTCCTCATGTAGGTTTTTTCCTGCATTTATCTATATCAATGGTTCTCAAATGTTATGAGGTATCAGAATCATCTGTCGAATTTATAAAACAGATTTATAAATAGATCACTGGGCTCCAGAATGTCTATCTAACTCATTAGATCTGGACCGGGGCCACAGAATACACGTTTCTAACAGGCAATGCCACTGCTACTGGTCTGGAAATGCACTTGAAAACTGCTGATTTATATGTGGGTTATACATACTTGTTAACTATTAGTTCATTCCCTCGACATATACATTGGTTTTCTCCATTTAAAAAAAAAAGCTTCACATTACACTCATGTAAATTATTCAAGGTCTTCTCACTCTCAACTTCTCAGGTTGCTCAGATTGAAAATTAATTTTAAAAAACTGCTTAAGGCCCTGGTTCATGTGACTCAGGGGATTAAGTGCCAGCCTGCGGCCTGAAAGGTTCTCAGTTCGATTCCTAGTCACACAGGCCAGGCCCTGGCTTCAGGACCAGTTTCAGGCCAGGTCCCCAGGTCAGGGTATGCAAGAGGCAACTGATCCATGTTTCTCTCCTTCTCTTTCTTCCTCCTTTTCCCTCTCTCTAAAAGAAAATAAAATCTTTTAAAAATAAAAAAACTCCTTAAGTGATATATTTTTAAAAGGTTCAAAAAACAAGAAAAAGAATCGCACATTCCAAAGCTTTCCTATAAAAGTAATTATCTGCTATTAAAGACTTTTTAGTAGGATCAAGAGATATCCATATATGTTCAATTGAGGAAAACAATGTTAAGTATTCAATTCATTTCTGTACAGGTTCTTCTAATAAGTCTGTATTGTTTGGTCAATTTAATGCTTTGGTATTAAACTAACACCCTAAGGAGACCGTGTGATTTCCTCTAGGTCAGTGACTCAACTGTTTTTCTATTAGACAGGGTCACAAGGACTGTGAGCCTTTTCGTTCTAACTATGAGACAATCTTAGTTTCCAGACAAGAAGGAAGTCTTTGTCTTAGACTGAAGACTATATATATAAGTAACCAGTGACTCAAAAACAAAGCTGTGGTGACAGTGACACAACTTGTATTTTAATCAGTTTAGTTTAAACGAGTAAAAAAGCACTTAAGACTCCCTTGGTTTTACATTCTGTAAAGTAGGTAAGAAAACCTAGAACTTAAATAGTATCTTAGAAACAAAGAGTTGGGAGAGATTTTTATACTTAATCTAATATCTACATTTTAAAGATGACAAAATTGAGCCCCAAACTGATTTAATGCCTCACAATTAGTAGCAGTAAATAATTTATACATTCACTTATTACTGACATAGAATGGGATTTTCTTTTTTCATTCAGGGCAAATAACATGAAAGAGGCTTACATAAAAAATGGTAGAACAATGAAATTTCCTATAAACATTACGGTATTTTAAAATACATTAGAACATATGATATGTTACTTGTCATTATCAAAAAGTAGGCAATTTTGAAATATCCCTGCATAAAAATCAAACTATAGTTTCATGCAATCAAAAATCAGGAAAAGAAATTTAACATACATACAAAAAATTCTTCAGAAAGAGAACAACAATGTTGGATTAAAACTGCTGACCTTAGTTAAGCATTTGGGTTTTCTAAGCTGCTTTTCCTTCTAAAAGTTTGGAAGCCCCTGGGGCAGGGATTTATGTAACTGCACCACCAGCACCCAGCACACTGCAAGGCACAGTAGGTTAGATAGGTACGCGACAACTGGTTGAATTAAAAAAAAAAAAAAAAAAAGAATCCATCTTGAGCATTTGGTGTTATTAAAAAGAAAATCGAGGCAGAAAAATTATATATTTCATTAAGAATCCAGTAATGCAGTAGTTCTCAAAGTGTGATCATCAGACCAGCAGCTTCTGTCTCACCAGTGACCATGCTAGAAATGAACATTTTCTGAGCCTCTCTGAGACATACAGCCTAAGACACTCTGGACGTGGGGAGAAACTATATTTCCTCAAGCCTTCCATGGGATTCTGGTACACACTAAAGTTTGAGAACTGCTGTGTTAAGAAAATGGTTCTCAGCCCTGGATGGTGTGGCTCAGTGGATTGAGTGCCGGCCTGCGAACCAAAGGGTCACTGGTTTGATTCCCAGTCAGGGCACATGCCTGGGTTGCAGGCCACATCCCCAGTTGGGGGCATGTGAGAGGCAATCACACTTTGATGCTTCTCTCTTGCTCTTTCTCCCTTCTTTCCCTCTCTAAAAAGAAATAAATAAAATCCTTAAAAAGAAAAGAAAGAAAATGGTTCTCAAACTTTTTAGTCTCCAGAACTTTCACAGTCTTAAAAATTATTAAGGCACCCAAAAATGTTTGTTTAAAGGTTTATAACTATCGCACCTGCCATGTTTAAAAATAGGACATTTAAAAATATTCATTAATTTATTTTAAAATAAATAAACCCTTTCACATGTTAACTCTTTCATGAGTAACTTTTTAAATAAAAACAGTATTACCAAAACAAGAAGAAAAACTTAGTGAGAAAAGAGGCATTGTTTTACATTTCTGCAAACCTCTTCATTGATTTATTTAGCAGAAGAAAGCAAGCACCTCAAATCTCCAGTAGTCAGTCTATCCCATTATGTTGTTTTGGCTGAAGTATATATTAAAAAAATAAAAACAGACTCACACAGATATGAAGTCAGAAAAAGGAGTACTTTAATAACCTTTTCAGATAATACTGGATATTCTTCTCTGCTGCTGCACCAAAATAAGTGGTAGTTTCTTAAAAATTAGTTGCCATGTGGAACCTAAAACCACATTCGTGAATTTTTGTGCTTTTATATTAAAATCCATTGGTCTTTCTTGGGCTTTGAATGGCTCTTTCAACCATGTAATGTTTGATCATCTGGAAAACAACAGCATGCTGAGTTATGCAGATCGGCCGAATAGTGACACATTTCCTTAATTTTCTTACATAATATTAACAAATGTGATTCTTGGATAATGCCACAAATCCAATCAGAGAAGTCTACAATATTGTGAAGCCATTAAACTCACAGTGGTGGAAACAAGTTTTCCAAAATTCTAATTTTCACTTGAAAGTTCAAACTTTACCATTGAAAACAAATACTACTACTTGCTTTCCTTCAAGAGACAGGATCACTTTGCTCACTGTCAAGAAAATACCTGCCTAATAACTAAGTCTGATTAATCATACTTGAATTTGTCCTTTCAAGTTATAACAATGGTGTGGTTTTTAAATTTTTTTATTGTTGTTCAAGTACAGTTTTCTGCCTTCCCCCCCTCCCCAGCCCAAAACTCCAGCCCTCCCCACCTTCCTCCCCTGTTTCCACCTCCCCCCCCCCCGCCCCGTTATTGTCCATGTGTCCTTTATAATTAATTGTTCCTGCAAACCCTTCACCCTTTTCCCCTGAATACCCTCCCCTCTCCCCTCTGGCCACTATCAGCCTGTTCTCAATTTCAGTGTCTTTGGTTATATTTTGCATTTTTGTTTGTTTGGTTGAGCAACACAATTTACAACAGCCAAGTGCTGGAAGCAACCTAAGTGCTCATCAGTAAATGAATGGATCAAAAAACTATGGTACATTTACACAATGGAATTCTATGCAGCAGAAAGAAAGAAGGAGCTCCTACCCTTTGTGACAGCGTGGATGGAACTGGAAAGCATTATGCTAAGTGAAACAAGCCAGGGGGTGATCAAGTTATAACAATGGTGTTTCATGAAACAGAAGAGCCAGTTCAGCGGCAAGGCAAACACCCACCCCAGGGCTTTTCCTCAAGACAATCCCCATGAAGTCAGGTGCTTTACACTTCCTTCCCCTTTCACCACACAGGCATTAAAGAAACTTTTATGCAAAGGGTCAAGATATACCCAAATCAAACATTTTCTACCCCTTCATCGTGAACATTTTTAAGTGAAACTAGCTTTTTCTGGCCCCTGCAAAGATGTGGTAAAGAGGACAATGACTCACGCTAAGGAAGGTGTGGCAATTTTACCCACACTGCTTTTATACCATCTGTGCTAAAGTCAACAGAGTCAAAAAGCAAATAACACCTCAGTATGGTTATAAAAATAGTTTTGATTTCAGACCCCCAGAGCCTTTGAAAACTGCTGTTTTAAGAGATCCTAAAAGAAAGCTCTAGTGTTTCCCTACTTCACTAGTTACTTGGCTACAAGATAACCTCCCTTATCAGACTACAAAATTCTTTACAGCAGATGGTGACAGATAGTCTTTTAGATAGGGTCTAGAACAGGGTAAGACTCAAAGATTCAACTTTCACTGAAGGAGCAAATTCAGGGTGCCATACATACATAGGGTATTTTATGGACCAAAGCAGAGGAAAGCTTTAGGTCAACTCAAGAAATCCTACAACCTCTCTTCATTAAGATAGTGAGGGCTATAATACGACATACATGTAATTAGCATGGTTATTTTTAAAACTACTCACTTGACAGAAATCACTAGGCACTCAGAACAAGGGGACAGAGGGACAAGGAAGTGCTTCTAAGCAGGGGACAAGGGCTCCAGAGGAACCTGTGATGTACAGGTTCTCGAAAAACTGTCAAAGTGTGCCAATTAACACTGATTATTACTTGTTGTTTTATTAGGTTTTCTGGTTCAGTGAGCTTCCTGCTGTGTCAATTGACATCAATTATTACTTTTAGCTTCATTGGGTTTTCTGGTTCAGTGAGAGTAGAGGGAAGGATTTATGGGATCTGTCCTGGGGGGAAATGACAGTCAGGATCTCTGGTTATGGCCTCTGGCATTGAGACCAAGGTCTTTCCTGAGGTTAACTACCTTGGTAGCTACCCCACATTGGGCGTTGTCCCCTCTTGCTTCTTGCCCTGTGCTGGCCAGCTATATGCCATTACAACGAAAAAGAGAGTCAGCAGATACTGCTCACAGTGGATAAATCAGCAAGGACAGCAAGGACCTTCTCTATTTTTGAAAGGTGGAATGAAGATCACCAGAAGAATCCAAAACAAAAATTCATTAAGAGTGGCTCCTCTGGGTGAGGGGAAATCCAGAATGAAAAAGAGAGAAGCTTTACTTTTAATTTTCTGTGTTGTTTGAATCGTTTTCACCATAGACATCTATTGCTTTTACAGTATAAACAATGTAAGGAACAGTTTTATAGACGAAAACTGAAAAGAGCCTGTGTGATTCATTTTAGCTGCAAGACGGGAAGGAAGACACTGAAAAAGATTGCTCCCCCCCCAGGTGTGTCTTGTGAAGGAGGAAAACTCTCCAAAGAAAAGGTTGAAAGCAACATTCAAGAATGGCTGCCCCAAGAAGCTTGGCCTTAAGAAGCCGAAGATCCAATCTGTGAGGTTGTTTGCTCCTTCCCAGAGCAAGGCAGCAAGATGACCACAAGGGCAGGGGAGGGCCCAGTACTGGAGGCTACGATGGGAATGGCCCTGGTTAACAGAGCGACGTCAAGCAAAGAATACTGGCCAGGGCTCAGAGCTGGCTGCAGAGTAGCCACCCAATTTCCTCATCATGTGGGGAGATGGAATTACCTTCACCTCACAGAACTGGGCCAAGGATACAAGGATCGCTTGGGAGCCAGGTTTACCATCTAAAAAATGTGAGGATGGATGACAAGGTTCCTTCAGATGGGATTAGTCTTGAACGAGTGAAACTATGTCTACGTCTTGGAAAGACCCCTCCGACTGCCATATTTAAAGCATGGGTGACTTCATGGCTCATTGTTTAAGTCAAAACAAACTACTCTCCAAAACGGATCTTTTCTCACCGATTCTGAAAGGACTTTCCAGCAATATTGTCTCTGTAGGAATCAAACAAAACGTGGTATTGATCCCTGCTCCATTCCAGGACCACCTAGGGAAAAAAGAAGAAGAAAAAAGAAAAAGAAACAATGTTTTATTTGCGCCGAATACTAAAGAGTTCGTAAGTTTCACTTCATTGAGAATTGCTAAAGAAACAGGTAAAGCAATCAAAGTCCACCCATTACACCGTGCCTGCCACCTGCCAGATACTGTGCTCAATCCAGATGCATAAACTGCAACATAAGGATAGTTACATACATGAGCATCAAAGAGGGAGCAAGTTTTGCCTTTAGCGCCAGACACAGCACCAACCCCAATGGCAGGCACATACATATAGAGTATGCTGTCTATCTGTAATAATATAATTGTATCAACTTGTGTCAACTTACTGAACTCAAATAAAAGTGATTCTCCATCAATACTCCTGTACCCAGAAGGTGGGGATGAGACAGAAAACTTAGAATAGAGAACAAAGACTTCAAGCTCTGCCCCTCCCCTTTTCTGCCTTGGCCGGAACATGGCAGATGTGACCTTCACTGACTACCTGTTCCCCCGCTTCCTCCTCCCCAATTTCCTGTAATTGAGAGGACCAAAAACAAACAAACAAAAAAGAAATCGCTACCTGGAAAGGAGGGTCAGGGATGAGCCATATGGGTAGTCACCCCACCAGTGTCAGAAACGGAGGACCACCCTCTCCTCCCCACTTGCCCACATTTAATTAAAACCTTCCACCCAGACCCCACTGGGGTACCTCATTCTCCCAGGTCGTCCGCTCTTACTTCTTGAGTGAATACCATCGCTTTAATAAATTTACTGTGCTTTGCTATAAATCCTTCTGTCATGCTCTCGGATCCTTCCCAGGCCATGACCAGAACCCGGACCCCGGTATCTGCTGAGGCCTCCCTTGGCCGCCCCCCAGGTGCTGCCCAGCATCAGGGAGGACACGTGAGAGGGCACACTTCACAAATGACTGAGAAATGCTGACGCGGTGTGTTGACACAACACGTCTTCCTTCATCAGATAAATTAATCTCTCAGTCACCAAACTGCTTTCATGTATTAGAAACAACAACAACAGTGACAGCCAAGAGTGCTTATCTAACACATTTAGGCACATTGCTACTAGTCCAGACTTCTGCACCCTTAGATCTCGGGGGAGGCAGCCAGGTTATGACTTAGGACATAGGTTTTCATCCCGGCTCTGTCACTTTTATAGAGATCTAACACAAGTTCGTCTCTTTGGGTTGTTTCTTCATCTGTAAAATAAGGGGGATCAGACCAAATTGTCTTTGAAATCCCTTCCAATCCTAAAAGTACACAGTGAGGCAAAAAAAGTAGTAGGTTTACCGAGTATGTGAAGAAATAGTTTATTCTTGTGTTATTATTTATTAATTTTGTATTATTTTCCAAATGAACAACTGTAAACCTACTTTGGCCCACCCTGTACAAGACTAAAGGAGGCGCAGAGCAGTGTGGCTGGCATGGCACACGGTGCAGCTTCTTCTGAGACCACACAGCAGCTCCTTAGGATACCACGTCTCTTCTGCCTCCAGTCTCCTCTGGGTCTCCTACCCCTGGTTCTAATCCCGCCAACATTTACACTTGGGTCTCTTTCATCACAACTATTTCCCTTTTCTGCTTAAATCAGTTCTCAACTAGACCAAGCTGTGGAAATCTTGCCAAACCCTTTTCTAAGTGAATGAGTAATATGCTATATGAAGGATCAAAAAGGAGGCTTGTAAGTCAAATAAAATTCATGTGTCAGATCATCTTCTTAATACGATCCAGGATGGAAATGAGCAGAAATTTGAATGGGCAATTATAAAATTACTTATTCTGGGGTGAGCCATAAAAATATACAAGTATCTTCCAAACAAACAGACAAACTTGTAACTTGTAACTAGACCTTGTTTTTAGCCATTATTACAATAAACAAAGGACCAGAGGAGGGGTTAAAGAAACTCGTAAAAAATCAAGTCTCTTTTTCCTCCACAAAGCTTTTCCCACATTCTTCAGCCCAGTCTGAATGCTTCCATCTCAAAACTCTGAGTAACTTTCATCTGTATCACCTACTTGGAAATTAGCTACCCACCGCCTTGTAACATTTCTTGCCTTGCATTACTCATCTTTTTTATTGTTACTTTCTTGTCACCCCATGTTAGCATCTTGTCAAACCAATCAAGTTATAAACTGCTTCAGTGTATTTATCATTAACTCGTACTGAGAACAATTCATTGCACACTGTATTCTTCTTAGTAAATGTCTGGTTATAGCAGGAGTGACATAAGAGATGACAGGATTGGGGAATTTGGTACATCTCCTGGGACAAGCTCTCAGTTCTCCTACCAGTGGCTGTGTAACCTTGAGTAAGCTACAAAGCTCAGGCCTCCGTTTTCTACACTCTGAACTTAAGTACAGAATCTGTTTCATCAGTTTGCTGTGCCGCTGTACTAGACAGCGATTCTCATGTGACGTGGGCGAGGAAAGTGCATGAAAAGCGTACTGGGCCAACTAGAAGTCATGGTAAATAAAGTGTATCTTCCTGAACCACCGTTTTAATAATGGCAAGACCTGTAAAGCATTATATTGGTAGGAATTCAAGTTTTTATGAAACAAAATGAAAAACACACATGATTTTGCAGATTAATGGTTGGCTTTCAAAAAATTCCTACTTGCCATGTTCAACTGTCCCCCCCTCAACCACGTGCATGCACACACGCCCCTCCTCTCTGCACTGCTCTCCTCGGAGTATTCACTTTCCTCTGCTTCTAAGGGTAGTTTGTTGGTGAAATTTCAGACACAATGAACAAAAATACTGCTTATTAAAATACTACATGAGCTCTGAAATACATCATAAACTAAAGAATTTAAAAAATCACCTAAAGGTAGTTTACTGGTTAAAAATGTTTCTCACAGCCCTGGCTGGTGTAGCTCAGTGGATTGAGCATGGGCTGCAAACCAAAGCATCGCCAGTTCGATTCCCAGCCAGGGTACATGCTTGGGTTGCAGGCCACGGCCCCCAGCAACCGCACATTGATGTTTCTCTCTCTCTCTTTCTCCCTCCCTTCCCTCTCTAAAAATAAATAAATAAAATCTTTAAAAAAATGTTTATCACTTTTAAGAGTCCGTTTTAATAACCATGGCATTCAAGGTATTTAAGATTGATTGTTCATCAGTTTTTACAAAATGGCCACCAATGTCGGTCTTGACGAGCTGGTGGCGGAGGAGGAGGGATGGAGACGTACATTCACCAAGCACCCTGGTGCCAAGCACTCCTCCCCAACGAACCCCCGCAACAGGGGACCGACCACGGGCAGGTACCAGGGCGGCTCACTTTCCGAAGAGAAGCCCTGGGCTACCAGCAGCGTGCAGAGGGGCTGGGGTCTGAATCAACACAGCTCCCGAGCCTAAGTTCCCATTTAGCTTTGTTCCCGGGCTGCCTCCTCCGACAGTTATTTACACAGAGTTTTGTCAAATACACATTTCAGAACGTGGCCACTCAGTTCTGAAGCCGGTATGTTTATCCTCCTTAATTCAATGACCCAGATCTGTTTCCTTAGCATGTTTATATCTAAAGGACCACACTCACACAATACACTTGTGCTTTTCTTCAGTATTTTCAGAATGTCTAACACCCCTTTAACTGGTTGGCACACACAAATGCTAAAATTTTCAGATGATAAGCTTTTTAGAGTTACAGAACCATTAAACACTTTTATTGAAGATTTGTATGATTCCAGACAGGATCAATGCCTGTGGCTGAGCAGTAGTGAATGAGATGCAAGGTCCACAGCCCTTCGCATCAGAGGAATTCCTTGGTGAAGGAAAGGAGGAAGGAAATTATTAAGAAGAGAGCAGGTACATAGCACCTATCTGCTCATCACCATAAGATTCACAGTCAGAAGACGTGAGTTTCAATCTGACGCTTATCAATAACAAAACCTAGGGCCCGTCTCTATTCTCCATTTCTTCATCTGCAGAATGAGGACGAGTGCCGCCTGCTTCACAAGACGGCTTTGATGAGTGAGCGAGACGTGGGATGAGATGCACAGGGCTGCACACCGCCACCTGCGTGCCAGGTGCCAGCTGTTCGCACGTCGCTTCAAGACAGCACTCACAACTCTGCTGTGTACTTTACCTGTTTCAGTATATGTCTACACCTCTGTGAGACGCTCAAAGCCAGGAACTTGACCTCTTTTTATTTTTATTCCCAAATCCTTGCACAGGACCTAGCACAAAATAGACATTCTAGAATGAATAAATATGGCTACTAGTTTCACAAGGCAAACATCTCGGAACAGTGGACTGCTCCCGAGTTTCCCTCCAGAACTCTCTGCTCTCAGTTCCATTCCCAGAGAGTCAAGGGAAAGAGTAAAGGGCTACAAACATAAGGAGACAGCAGCAAGCCTAGGAACACAAGGATATAAATTCTCTCTGTAAAAGCATGTGTCACCATCTCAATTTTTCAAGCAAAGAGGTTGACAAGATACACACACTATAGAACTTAAGATGCTGGGGCTCTCTACCCTCCAGCAGTCAGAACTCTCAACACTGACATAGCTTTTCATGCATAGCTTTTTATATATTGATAATCATTGGTTTACATTGTCCTAGATTATAAAGATTCTTCATAGTTCCCAAAAACAAAATTTAGTTTGCATTAAAACATACTAAGAGAGACTAAGATATGGATCTTAGAGATAGTTTGAGCTTTATCTTTTCAACCCTACACATCCTTTGATATCCATCAGGAAGTGCTATCTGCTCGCCACCAGACACACTGTCTAATCACATCTGATTACACATGCTCATTTTGTTTTCCTGTGTTGGCCCACAGCTTATAAACAACTGAAATGTATGTCTCACAGTTCTGGAGGCTGGGAAGACTAAGGTCCAGGCACCCACAGAGTTGGTGTCTAGTGAGAGCCAGCCTCAGGTTCATGGCCTTCTGTGTCTCCTCAGGTGGTGGACAGGGCCCAGGAGCTCTCAGGGGTTTCTTTTATAAGAGCACTAATCACACCCATGACCTAATTACCTTCCAAACGCCTCCCCT